AAAATATTCCAGTTGGTGGAAAAAAGTATAAACATTTTCTTTATATAAAAATTATCATCCATTTTGGCGGAAAAAAATTGAAAGCCAGTGTGAGCCCTGACCCTACTCCTTTACAACTGGGGAATCGAAACCCCGCCAGTTGACTCAATGACAGACCTTTGATACAATGCACATTCGGCCATCCAACCCCCGCTGACAATGTACATGTAAATAGAGGTAAACAAGGACAATACACCTACAATATACCTGTATATATATATATATATATACATATATATATATATATCATTACTACATGTATGTCATGGTATACAGGACTGACTGGTATAGGCTTTATGTCATGTCAAATCTATTGACTAACCTACTTCTCTTTTGAGTGGGTGTGGTCAAAAAACATACCTACATATATATACATGTATGTATACAAGCCAGTAAATAACTACATGTAAATATACTTTACATCCCACTTCTACTCGTTGCCACTGGCAACCTTTGATAAAACTGTCCTGTTTAATTGCAGTACATGCAGAAAAGTATGGTGCATCAGAAATGTTCAGAAAGAGTACTGTTCATTTCAGAAATGTTCAGAAAGAGTACTGTTCATTTCTGATACACGGATACTTTTATACTGTTTTAGATACCTATCAACCAACTTATTTTTAGATATACTTTTATACTGTTTTAGATACCTATCAACCAACTTATTTTTAGATACCTATCAAGCAATAAGTAGCGGACATTTAGTCCGACCCAGATCGCAATTGATAACAACGGCTCTGTACAATGTCCACGAAACGACTAGTCAAAATCATAGTAACAAAACAAAATGGGGGGAACTACATGGCAGTTCAAAAACATATACAATGACATTAAATTAACATAACAACATATTACAAAAATCAATTATTATACATATCAATTGGCAACTATTTCATAATTTGGTTTGATTTATATTAATATGCAAAATATATAAATTAGAATTTTGAATAATTATTTTAATTAATTGTGATGATAGAAGGCGCAGTTCTCTTGCTTGACACTTCACAGGCATTGAAAATAAGCAGGATGAAAAAAAAACGCCTAGAAAGTCATAAATAAATTTCAACGGAAGAACCATCCGCCGATGCATACTTTCACCAGGAATGACCCACGTTTCGCATTTCCTTTACACTACATTTAATAATATCGCAGTCCTCTACGCCATACACAAGTTTGTTTTGACGATGTGGTCTAAACAAACACGAGAATGTTTTACGCTCAGAGTATCATAGCAAGACGCACGTGTAAATACTACTCAGGTCGTCTCTCCACTGCGAAAGCATGAAAGAGCAGAAAGTATTTGTCACTTTTCGGTTGAAACGACTCGATAATAAATACTATTTTTCACATTTTGCTTCACAATACTCGATAGAAATGTGATGTAAGTAACTTATTAGCACCTTTCCTCGGTGTATCGGTGAATATCAGGACAGTTTTGGTCGGGAGCCACCTCGGCTGGGCCCCTCGACCAAAACTGTCCTGATATTCACTGATACACCTCGGAAAGGGTGCTAATAACTACTACACAACCTCAGGTGTACATATATCTACCTGACAAAATAAATGAGAGAAATGGGGTTTAACATCCACTCGACACAAACTTGGTCACTTTGGGACCAAAAGATAAGATGGTTTAATTTAATTTCAATAATTTGCTTTATACTTAAGGGTCTTAAGCAGTGGGAGGAAACCGGAGGATCCTGAGAAAACCCACGAGGTTGGACAGGCGACTCTACTCCTTGTCACGTACAACCGGGGAACTGAAACCATGCCAGTTGACTCAATGACAGACTTTATGATACAGCGCGCACATGCTAACCATTCAGCCATCCAACCCCTTTCCTTGTCATGTACGATGGGATAAATGTCAATATCACATGACAATATAATATTGGGATAAATCGACTTGAAAGGGAAATTCCCCAATTTTAAAAGTAAACTGTAAATAGAAGTGAAATGGAGTTTAACGTCCTAATGAAGATGGGTTTACACCATACAGTGCTATGAGGGAAATTTTGCCCGGACAGCGGCGCTACAGCCTACTGTACAAAAGTTGTTGTGTCAGATTGTGAGAGAATATCTGACAATTCAAATAAGAAATTGACTGTCACTAGATAAGAGAAAATGAAACAAAAAATTAGAAAAGTATGGAATGAATAAAAACAAGGGAATTTACAGACTATTTCTATTTTTCTCCTGTTCTCTTACATAGTGACATTCAATTACTTTTTTGAAATGTCAGATATCCTCTCAGCCTCACATACAATGTAACAACTTTTGGTCTTCAAAGAAATTATTAGTGAGCAGAAATTCGGCCGTGTATCTGTTATCACTCGTCACTTCAGATCAGTCAGTTATATACAGAAGGAAACATGTAACTTGTGTTTTCCTTTTGCATTTGTCACTTCCCTTTCTTGAAAGCTTCATAACACATCTATCATAGCAATAATCTCTGTGTTAAAATTATATTTGGAACGTGGGTAACCAGTTCTATCACATATTTGATAATGACTGACACCAATATTGTCCTTTAAGACGTATAAAGATTTAGTATGGGTACATGTAAATTATCAGGAGAAAAAAAAACTTACCATTAACCGTAACAGTAGCCATTTTTTTTTTAAGAAGTTTTAAAATGTAATTCCATACATTGTCAACTCAACATGTTGAGAATGATTAAAACCCTCCTACGTGTACGTGTGCAGGTAGGCGTTGATTGTTTTCATTAATTAACACATAAATATACATCTATATATAAGGTTCAGTATATTATAGAGTTATGTGATTGGCTAATGTCCAGCGTAGTCAACACAAGTCTATGTAAATACGTGTTAATATAGAAATTTAACAGAATATAGTAATACTGGACTTGAATAGAATATAATCCTAATGATAATAGATATATAATGAATATAGAAGTATGTAATAACCTTGATATACATGTATACAGGTACACACACAGGTCATTGATGTTGTCATACTCAGTACAATATAACACAAACACATTGTATGAAAACAACAAACTTAGGCCTAATAATTGACTTGTAAAACACACACTTTACCTTTAACATAAATTGTATACATGTATGTATGGTTGTATTTATTATCATATTGTACATGTATATTGCTGATCATATATGAAAATGAAATGAAATGGGGTTTAACGTCCTACTGTTTTGTTCCGAACTGGGCTAATGAAGACATTTGAAGCACAATTTTAACCAATAAATTAGTTGGAATCCATCAATCTGATTAAAATACAAATCCCATTTCGTTTCGCTTTACGGTATATAGTTCAAAATTTTGTTTTACTTTACTTGTCTTTACTACATGCACACTAGGACCTGGAAGAGTTGTTTTCGTTGACGTGTTCTGGATGATGTGAGGGATTAGCAAATGAAACGGTATGTTACGACGAGCTTTTGGTGTGTGATTATTATTATTATTATAATTTCATTTTTAAAGCGCTACATTATAACAATAGTTATTTCTAAGAACAGAACTGTGGGTAATCCACTAGAAACATCAATGCTGATTGGTTAATCAAATGTCTGATGCCATAAATTCAAAAGCCGCTCGTATGACCATCTGAAGCGATCTTCCAGTACAACTTCACGTATACATGTATGTAGTGGAGGCCATCGAAAGTATAAAAAACGATACGAAATATTGATCTGTATTTTAATCCGATTGACTTTTGACAGATAAATTAGTTTGAATATCTTTAAGTCCAAATACATAAGTACCAGTTTGTAAGAGAGAGAGAGAAATGGGGTTTAACATCCACTCAACACAAACGAGGTCATTTCGGGACTAACATATGGTTTAATTTTATTTCAATAATTCGCTAACGCGTCGGGGTCTTTAGCAGTGGAAGGAAACCGGAGGACTCAGAGAAAACCCATGAGGTTGGACATACATGTTCGACCCTACTCCTTGTCACGTACAACCGGGGATTCGAAACCATGCCAGCTGACTCATTGACAGGCCTTATGAGTTTGTAAGAGAAGGCAATTAACAGTCTTACGGTACAGTGATTATTTTTGAATGTTGAAAAATGTGACTTATCTGTGTTTTGTGCCTTTAAGCAATTTATAAGTTGATGTAAGTTATGGATGAATAAACAACAAGTATTTGTTGTTAAGGAAACCATATAAAGTTAACCTGTATAAAATATTATTGATTTACCTGGGTACTATGAATACCTGTAATTAACTACATGTATCTTAACAAACCAGGTAGTTAATTACATGTAGGCCTAGTCAATACAAACCAGGTTAATTAAACAAACAGGTAATTAACCACTTGTACGACTCGCAACCAACAGTCACTGACTAATTTTTACTCCAAGATTTAGTAACATATTTATTCTTTACCTCCAAGATTCAATAACATCAAATTATCTTTTTTTTTTATCCACGATTCAAAAACATGAAATTAGGGCCTACATGTATCTATTTTTTCATCCCAGATTCAAAAACATGAAACTGACTACTTTTTCCTCCAAGATTTAGTAATATAAAATGAATTGTTTTTCATCCAAGATTTAAAAACATTGGAATATCCAGTTTTTCTTCCAAGATTTAGTATACATGTACAGTACATGACAGTATGGTAATAAAAATTGTTTATTTCCTCTATGAATCAAAATTATCTACATGTAAATTTTCCTCCTAGATTTACATATATAAAATCTGTTTTCTCCAGTTTCCTCCCATTGCTATTATATTGAACCATATGTTAGTCCCAAAATGGCATAGTTTGTGTCAAGTAGACATTAAACCTCATTTCTCTCTCCCTCTCTCTCCTTTTCTCCGGTCTCCTCACACACTCACACTGCTGAAGACTCAAATTATTAAAATAAAATTGAACTGTATTTTATTCCAGAAATGAAGAAATGCAAAGAAGAAAGTCTTTTTAAAAATAAAGTTTAAATAAAAATTGGGAGATTCTCAACTCACCTTTACAGGTAGTTTTTAACAGCATTTTAGTTTGACATGACGTCAGTGTGGTTGCCATCTTAGCGATACCAAATCTGTCACCAATAAACTCAAAAAACATTTGTCATAAAAACATTCTCACAAACAAACACAAAAGAAATCGGCAGCTGGGTACTTGTAGTTTGACCGGTTTTCCACCATAGATAAAATGTTTTCCATAACTTAACTCAGCTTAAATATCATGTGAGTTTTTTTCTAGATTTCGTCGTCCATTGTTTGCGGTTCGTGTTCTGCTTGTATACAGATTAAAGAATAACGTTGGCCTAATCCTGATCAGCCTAATTATACATTGTTTAACAGTACAGTACTATTATCAGTGTCTTCTGCTGAGAAAAACAACCAAAAGTTTAAATACAATACATGTATTGTTATTCCAGTTCATAACAACAATCACTGAGGTACAAGAAGACTTAACAAATGTAAATAACCCAATTTCACACAATTCATAACAATTCCTTCACATTTCTAATTTCTTTCTTGATCTCAAACTTTTCTTTCAGCAGGTGCTTGTAAACCTCATCTAAAGATTAAAATAAACAACAAAATATTTAAGCATACATCCACACCTGATGAAGGATAAGAATAATAATAAAATAAATAATAAGAATAATAATCTATTTATAAAGCGCTGAATATCCAACAAACTGGTTGCTCAAGAGCGCTATCCACACAAGATATCTTTAAAAGATGAAAATAACCATAACACAATTAACATTTTAAACACATTGAAGGAATGAACAGAATAAAAGTCTGAACTGGTAAAATTACCATAAACAAAATAATTATTGACACTAAGGGTTAACAGATTTAAAGAGTTCAGTCTTAAGAGATTTCTTAAAAGATGTCATGTTTTTAGAGTCTTTAGTCTATTTTTGATTTTGATAGTCTGTTGGGCCACTATGTCAATATAAACCTACACACTTACGAGAGAGAGACAGGGTTTAACGTCCACTCGACACAAACTAGGTCATTTCGGGACTAACATATGGTTTAATTTCTTTCAATAAAATCGCTTGTGTGTAGGGGTCTTTAGCAGTGCGGGGGAGGGGGAGGAACCAGATGACCCGTAGAAAACCCACGAGGTTGGACAGGCGACCTCTACTCCTTGTCACGTACAACCAGGAATTCGAAACCACGCCAGTTGACTCAATGACAGGCTTTATGATACACGTGCTAACCATTTGGCCATCCAACACACCCTACACACTTACGAGAAATCAGAAAACTTTTTTTGAAATGAAAATGGGTTTACTGTTTAACGATCTACTGTTCTAACTTGACTGGCAACTGGGCTAATGAGGACAGGATTATGCAATACTGTGTGCTATGAGGGAAATTTGGCCCGGACAGCGGTGCTAAGACTTCCTCTTAATTCAAATTCCAACTGTTCTTTTATGTGCACACCTATGTGTACATGTGACCTCGGTTTTTCGTCTCCATACAAACGACTACATGTACTGTATACATTGTCCCTTGCCAGACCGTCTGTCCTACACCACTGACAAGGGGGAACCGTGAAGGAAAATCCAGATTAACTTTTTCGGCCAACGCAGGGATCGAACACAGGATCCCCAGGTTAGCGAGCCAACATCCTACCCACTGAGCCACTGTGGTACCTACTGACTAAGGTAGAGTGCGATAACAGATACACACGTTTGTCCTTTGTCAGTGGTGCAGAACGGAGGGGCGGGCGAGAGTCAACAAATAGTTGTTCGGGTGGAATGACAAACCAAAATCTTGTGTACACATTGGCATCCACGTAAAAGATCCCTCGACAGTTGTAAATCAAGGTTAGGTTAGATTTAAAGTTGGCCATAGCACCACTGTCCTGGCAAAATTTCTCTCATAGTTTTGATTAGCTTGCTCGCTGCATGATGTATGCCAGTAATCATAAGCCCTGCAGTACGTAGGTTCGGAACAGTAGTCTTTCCCAATAAATTTTATGGTACGGATAGGCCTATATATAATATCCAAATTATAAAGCAATCAGCTAGGCTACCAGTACCGGTTACACAAAATAATTAATAATATTTAACTAAATCCACAAATGCCACTGGCTCTTCATCATCATTAATCATTTTCTAACCACGATTAAAAATTATGCCTAAATATTAATAAGATTTATAGTTGGCGTTTATTCGCCAAGTTGAATTTCTGAGTTACCGTACTTGTTTGCTTGTCACTTACTGCAAGAACTGGTTTTACAAGTACATTATATATAACCGGTAAATACACGACAAAACAACACCGTCGATTCACTATCGTCAAGTAACGATCTAAATTATACGCCTGGTCGCGTCCTGTGACAAGATAGTCATGCAAGTATTTCACAACTTGGCCACAACCTACGCAATTCACCACTTGAAAATATTAAGATAATATCTATGAATTGTAGATTACCGATGTGAAATCGGCTGAAATAAAATTATTGACCCATACCTCAGTCTGGTCAGTCCGTCGCGTGCCGTGTCTTCCTGTTCTAAACTCACCTCACACTCTCCCCACCGCACAATACTGGATCTTCAATGAGTTACTTTCTATTTTTCACTCGGCAACCGGCTGCAGATTTCACTCGGCCAACTTCGGTTACTCCTCTACACCAAACCATGTTTCCAAACAGAATTATCTTTCCGTGACCCGCAAATTATATTTTTAACTGGTTTGCTTTTGGCGCAATATTCTGATGTTTAGGCTAACACTGTTTTTAACGGCGTCAGCTTCTTATATTTATTGGGATACAAACACTAAACAGTTGTCTTTTATTTTCTGAGGAGATTTTCTGACCTGGGTAATGTAAATGAAGTTTGTTACTTTATAGTAGGCTAGTATTTGACTAAAACTGCATAAATCAAATCTTAATCATAGATGTACCGATTGTAAATAATTTTTTTTGCTGACGAAGTCTTTTCTAACTTTTGGGGTAAGACTACTAAGTAGCCTACATTGAAATTAGTGCTAGTACAGTAGAAGTGGTCTTGGCGTCGGGTAATCGATATGAAAACAAGTCTACATTATAATTAGGCCTAGATATCTACCTAGTCCGACTTCATTTCAAGCATTTTATTTATACCCCTTAAGTTGTAGTAGCGACAGTTTAACTACAAGTAAGTACAACAGCAACCAACAGGGGGTCACAGTATCGTGACTCGTGGACTTGTCAGGAGTATAACTTGAGCCTGAGAATGATCAATGAGATACACACAAATGGATAAGTCTGATAATCAGTTAATAAATCAGATGTAACTTGTAAATAAAGGCACTGTATGACAGTGTATGTAGGCCTACATATGATATATATTCTAAATACTAATAAATAGGCCTAGTAGTATTGTTTTATTAATATTACCTATTTATTAATTAATAGGGTTTCAGGTCAAACTCAAAGTTTCAAATGATCAAAACGCTCTATATACCAGTCAATGCGTGGGATGGCACCAAAATAAGTGCTTTTCTGTCATATTTGAGTGACGTCATGAGTCATAAGCGGTATTTTCCCTTCAGAATCGCTATACTGGCTAGGCTCTATATAGTACCAATTTTAAAACTGAATGAAATCCGCACGTTATTGTCAGCTAAGATTTATTAAAATCATAATTATATATTATAGATCTAATTTCAAATATTATACTTAACTAATAGAATCAATTAAGCTTTTACTATCTAATATGGTCGAAGCTCAGGTCCTAAAAACGCCTTTAATTTATGGTTTCTGTTATTCTTGAATAGATATTGTTAGGGACCTCATGCTGGAGGTTCGGTCGCATGATCATTTAATGTTCGAATTCTATACAAAATTGTAAAGTCTGAAGTTAGTATCAATGTAATTTGCTTATCTGGTCAACAAAGGTCCATTTACATTGATTTTGATGGAAAATTAGATCTGAATTACATATTACATATTTAAAGTTTACATTTCTTGATTATAAAGGTAGAATTTGAAATTATTTTCTCAGTGTTTTAAATGGGTTGGTTTTTTTTTTTGATGGCTTTGACCATTAAATTGAAAAAAATCAATGAAATGGACCTTTGTTGTGGTGTGGATAGGCTTGGGTGTAGGGGTGCCGGGAGCCCAAGTAGTGTCGTTAAAAAAGTATTAACATTAGTGTTACTTTACTCTTATTTTATGAAAGTTTTTTTCGCAAGTTGATTTCCTTTATTTTTTTAATGTAGAATGGTAATGAACTGCTTTTTTCCTTTTCTTTGCTTTATTTGTTCCGTTTGAATTTGATTTATCTGTTTAGTTTTTGATTGTTTAATTATTGTTTTTGTTAATTAAGTTGATTCTTTTAAACTTTGTTTTTATTTTTATACGTCCGTCGTCCACAATTTCTTGTGAACGCTCTAGAGACTAAAGTTAATATCTGATATTTACTGCCAGAGTTATAGCCCTTGATCACTTTGATAAATCTTGTGAACGCTCTAGAGGCTAAAGTTAATATCCAATGGACTCCAAATTGTTACACAGTGTGTAAGGTCATGAGACGAAGAAGCCTAATGATTTTCAGCGATATCCGATAATTACTACCAGAGTTATGGCCCTTGATCACTTTGAAAAATCTTGTGAAGACTCTAGAGGCTAAAGTTAAAATCCAATTGACTTTAAATTTATACACAGTGTTTAAGGTCATGAGACAAGACGCCTATTGATTTTCAGCGAGATCTGATGATTACTGCAAGAGTTATGGCATTGATATGTGAGAGACATCAGTTTAAAGTCGATTCTGGTTATTATAATCTAATGTATGAACTTTGTGTTGATTTTACCAGCCTGTAATTGTGGTATCATAATTAATTGTGATTTTAACATTTTTTTTAGTTAACTATATTAAATGAATTCCAAATGTACGTGTTGGCGAGGGGGTACATTAATAATTATATGTTTTTGTAGTACATGTTCCTTGTTTTATAATAAAACTACGCCCTTTCATTTTTCAGAAGAAAAGTATAGAAAATATTTCCAATTATCTATCTTGAGGTAAATCAGTTTATTATTTTCATTAACAGTTCTTATTTTTGTAAATTTTTATGTAAATCAACTACTTGTCATTGGAGTGCATCTCAAAATTCACTTTCCTTATCTACATAAAGTTTATGTAATAAGTTATAGTGTGTAAATTTGAAGTAAGTTCATATGTTTTTTTATTAATTATTTACAGATCACAGAGATTGAATGCTGCAGGTCTTGTGTTTAGTGTATAGACTAATTGGTGGATGTTATTAACATTAACCTTTTAGCAAAGGTTAGCTTGATGATGTTACTGACTTTGCAGTGTAGTGGAAGATGTTAACCTAACTTTGGTAGACAACAAGCCTAACCCTGAAGTCAACGATGTACAATATGTCAGTGTCACTGTTCCACTACCAAACGTAACGCGAATATAAACAATACTTACGGGTACATGTATTTACTTTGATTGAAATGAGGTCAACTTAAAAATTTGTGTAGATGTGTTATTTGTTGTAACAGTTATATCCATAAAAGTTATATCCATAAAATGTAAATTGTATTTTCTCTATATTAGTATAACAGATTAAACGAAATAAGATTATTTCACTCATGACTCGTAGTCACCCACCATCGTAGAAGTGTCAACATATCGAGAACACGCATTCATGAACCATGATTAGTTGGGACAAATTAATAATGAGGAATACTGTTTTCAAAGGCCTTAAGACAGGAAAGTGGTTATTGGTCACAACATTCATGTGTCACTGCAGGGGAGGGGGTGGAGTCAAATGATAATGCATTCGTGTTGGATAATAAGGTCTGTCATTTAGTGAAGAGGCTTAGCTTCGTTTCCAAGAGTAGGGTCGACTGCATTCCCACTGTTAAGATTTCGAGAAACAGGGCCCAGATTCTCACATCAGATACTTGAACCACAGAAAAGGTTACCTTTCAGAAAATTGGCTCTGTAGCCTAAAACTGAATCACCTATATCTCGGTTCAGAGCAAAGCAATCTGACTGAAATTTCAGCATTTTCTGTTTCTATTATTTATTGTTGAACTATTATAGCGAGAACTGTCAGCTCTTATCTAATCTTACCCAATGGCGCCAATGCCCCTTTAAAATGCCCCTTATAAATCTAGTTTAAAATCCAAATATTTGTCTAAACTTTAGACAGACCTTATGATCTACTAGTATTCTCCAGTTGGTCAATTTCACTGCAAGTCAGTCAAAACGGCCAAACATGACTGGCGAAAATAAGACAAATAAGGTTGGAAGTACCTTCAACACAAACCATGGCACTTGAATCAATGACAGACCTTATGATCTAAAGCATACATCAGACCACTCAACCACACAACTGGTAAAGACTTTAGACAAATATTTGGATTTTAAATTAGAAACAAAACCATACTGTTGAAGATGTAATTGAGACAAGACATTAGACTAGCACTTATATTTATTAGCAAAAAAAAGCCAACAATTTGATTGGTTTTAGTGCTTAGCCAATCAAAATTGAAATTTCTACTAAAATTTGGATTTGATCTTAGTTAAAATTTCCCTACTTTTAAGTTCTGGTAAAATGTCCTTATGTGTCGGAAGTTCTGATTTGTCGACTAAACGAAAGCGACCAGACTGTCCACCGTTGGCTTTGAGAAATGCGACAATTTTGATCGGTGACATACTTTGCGTTACAATGGTGTACATCTGATTTCTAGTGGAATGATTTATAAAGCGAACTGGAACGGGGAGGTTATACAGTAAGCCGTTAATCTGGCGTGTGATATGATGAGGGAAAGCAGGTCCAAACAGTAGATCTTTTAGCATTTTAACTTTTATGAATTCGTCTAGTCGTGCCTGGGCAGCTTTTAAAATAAATCTATCAGCATGACGGTAATGTGGTTTTCTAGGATATTTCTTCTTAGCCTGTGAATCTGTTACTTCTTCCTTCATTTCAACATCTGTGTCACTGGTCTCAGTTTCTGAATCAGTTCCCTCAGCTGTAGTAGCTGTAACGTTTTCTCCTGCATCCTCGGCAGCTTTCTTCAACACCTCCGCTTCTTTAAGCAACGTATCAAAACTGACAGATTCTATCGCTTGATCAGGTTTAGTGTAAGCAGAAACCTGGAATGAAAAACGATTTACTAAGACATGATATCTAGGTTAACTTTAAATAATGGCATTCATCAATTAAAGGTCAAATCTGTGCCTAGCCAGGAAGGCATTTTTATGTGCAATACAAGAGCAGAACGAAAACCAAGGTGGCTCAGTACATGAGGTGCCAGCTCTGTGGATAAGCCATCGGCTCAGGGGTTAAGCCACCAGCTCAGTTGGTAAGACAATGTCTCAGTGGGTAAAGACCCACCTCTGTGGGTAAACCGCTGGCTCGGTGGGTTCTGACTCGGTGTGTAGGACACTGGCTCATTGATAAGAATCTGTTTTTAATCTGGCCAATGAAGTTCCTCAGGTTTTTCCAGCCTTTTTTCGTCTTGTTGCAAGGGCAAGATGGACTGGACAAGAAAAAAGGTCCCTTGTATAGCCATTGGCAGCATGTTGACGGAACGGGAAAAAAATGCACGATACTGGACATGAGATTCTACTCCTTGTCACATACAAGCTTGGCTCAAATTGATTCAAGGACATATCTTATGATCTAAAGGGCATGCATTAGACCACTAGACCAGCCCACCCATATATCAATCTTCTGGTGTTGTCACAGGATAACCCTGCTCAAGGGACAGGAACGTTGCTTCAGTGAAAGGGTGTAGAAATGCAATGCTTGGCTAAATTGGTTTTTATACGCCCACACTGAAATGTGGACGTATATTGCCGTCGCCCGCGTCCGTCCGTCTGTCGGTACGTCCGTCGGTCCGTCGGTCCATCGTCCACAATTTCTTGTGAACGCTCTAACGCCAAAAGTTATCATCCAATTGTTTTAAAATTGATATATGTTGTTTTCATTAGTGAGATGAAGAAGCCTATTTAATTTCAATAACTTCTGTTTATTACGTCTAGAGTTATGGCCCTTGTTTCACTTTGTTGAACCTTGTGAACGCTCTAATGCCAAAAGTTAACATACGATCTTTGTGAAATTTATATGCAATATTTATGTTAGTGAAACGAAGAAGCCTATTGAATTTCAACAATTTCTGTTTATTACGTCTAGAGTTATGGCCCTTGTTTCACTTTATTGAACCTTGTGAACGCTCTAACTCCAAAAGTTATCATCCGATCTTTCTGAAATTTACATGCATTATTTAAATTAGTGAAACGAAGAAGCCTATTGAATTTCAGCAATTTCCGTTTATTACGTCTAGAGTTATGGCCCTTGTTTCATGTTATTGAACCGTGTGAACGCTCAAACGACAAAAGTTATCAACCGATCTGTATGAAATTTATATGCATCATTTAAATTAGTAAAACAAAGAAGCCTATTGAATTTCAGCAATTTCCGTTAATCATCTAGAGTTATGGCCCTTGTTTCACTTTGTTGAATCTTGTGAATGCTCTAATGACAACAGTTATCATCCGATCTGTTTGAAATTGATATGCATGATTTAAATTAGTGAAACGAAGAATCCTATTGAAGTTCAGCAATTTCCTTTAATTACGCCATGAGTTATGGCCCTTGTTTCACTTTGTTGTACCTTGTGGTTGCTTTAACGACAAAAGTTATTATACGATCTGTATGAAATTTAAAGGTATCGTTTAAATTAGTAAAACGAACAAGCCTATTGAGTTTCAGCAAATTTCCGTTAATTACATCTAGAGTTATGGCCCTTGTTTCACATTGTTGAATCTTGTGAACGCTTGAACGACAAAAGTTATCACCCAATCTGTATGAAATTCATATGCATCATTTAAATTAGTGAAATGAAGAAGCCTATTGAATGTCAGCAATTTCTGTCAATTACTTCTAGAGTTATGGCCCTTGTTCTACTTTGTTGAATCTTGTGAACGTTCGAACGACAAAAGTTATCATCCGATCTGTATGAAATTGATATGTATTATTTGAATTAGTAAAACGAAAAAGTCTGTCGAATTTCAATAATTTCTGTAGATTACTTCCTGAGTTACAGCCCTTGTTTTAGTTTTTAGAACCTTGTGAACCCTCAAACGACGAAAATTATAATGTCATCTGTATGAAGTTGTCTATTAAATGCCCCCTAATTACCTACAAAAGAACAAATATACGACAACTCTTGTCGACCGCTCGGACGATTTAGCTGCTGTGGGCGTATGTTTAGTTGCCTGGCAACCTATCTTTATATAATGTAGGCCCTATTTAGCTCAGGAATCCATAGCCCTAAAGCTAATTCAAGTATTCAGTAGAATAACTTACCTCTATGACTGGTTGTGTTTCGTAGAGCTTAAACAAGATATCAGCTGCTGCAAAATTTCTAGAGCCTATCTTACTAAGAGACACTGCAGGTTCGGTTCCAACATCTTCCTTCTGTATCTTCATCTGACATCTTAAAGTAAAAAAAGAGAGAAATGGGGATTAACACTCACACAAAACAAACCAACATTTTTGGACTGACACCCAGGAGGTTTGACTCAATGAAAGATCTTATGAGCTTGGACCACTCAACCACCCCTAAAAACAAAAGAAGAGTAACAAGCAAACTGAACATTTCAAAATTTTGATCAATGGGACAAGACTAGATCTTAAAGCTACAATTTCATATTTGTTAAGTTATATTTTTAAAATTTATTAAAATAAAGCCTTAAAATAGATGGTATCCATACACAGTCCTACCTTGTTAAAGAATAATCCTATTAATCCTATAATTCACTATTGCCAGCTGCGAAATTGGCAAAATTATCATTTTCGAATTCCAACATTTGAAGATAGCTAATGCATGGAGGCAATAGGAAAACAAGGGAGGTAATTGTGTTATTATTTCCTGTGTCAATGATTTTTAAGGGTGGGAAATAATGCCCATAGTCGTATAATAGTGAGTTGATAACCTATTGAGCAAAAGACATAGAAATAATTATGTTTTGACTTTCATAGAAAATATGAAATTCTGGCTTGAAGGCTAAGGCCAGGAAACACAGCCTAGGTCTTACAGTTAAGGCCGGAAGACGCAAGACTACAGTAGGTCTTAAGAGATTCAAGACTAGGTCTTAAGAGACACAAGACTAGGCCTTACAGTTGAGGCCAGAAGATACAAGACTAAGCCTTACAGTTGAGACCGGAAGACACAAGACTAGGCCTTAAGATTATGGCCGGAAGACCAGACTAGGCCTTAAGGCAACTTACCTGAATACACGATCATCATTGTCAAAAAACTCCCATTCCAACAACATATTGTTGACAAAACATGAATGTTGTAAAATATAGAAACCTTGAACTTTACGATCTACTATCCAACTGACGTCCTCAAAGACAACGATATCCTTGGCTGGTAGTGTTGATATAGGTTTTCGGGTCCATTGTAAGCGATGAAGATTCGAACAGTTATCTTCCAAAATGCAGTTGCCCTTGACACGAAAGTCGATAACATCTGTTGCTGCTTGGTCGTGTGGTTGAAGTTTACTGTGTTGGGGGAGGATGAACTCGGGGTCACAGTTCGTGAAACCTATCGGGCTTTAGAGTAAGCGTCTGCTTGGGCATCTGTTCGGTTCTCTGCTTCACCAATCATGATGAGATGACCAGCTAGATAGAGGTTACAGAAAATTTTCTCCTTTTCTATTTCTGTGTTCATGCTACGACGGTACAGACAAATGGGCGTCAATTTTACATCGTTGAAAATTCCATCCAAGACAGTAATGATGGATGCAGGATGCGTGGCACTGCTAAGTTCGTTCATTTTGACAAACTGTTCACGGAGATCAAATGCCCTAGGATTTGGTGCTGCCTTTACCAAAGTGCTCTGAACCTGTGCTTCTGCTTCTGTTATGACAGACTGTTCGACACCATCTAAGATGTTGCCATGTTCAACATTAATGGTGGTCAGTCGTTCAACCACCATATTATAACACAATGACTTAGCAGTTTTTTTGGAAACTGAAACACCTGCACCTTGTAGTATGTTGTCAATAAAGTACATTCCCTTATGATAAACTTTCCCTGATTCAGCTTTACAACTCTCTACATCATATCGACAACGGACTCGACATTTAGCCACAGAGGCCGCCAACTCCATTTTGCTGACTGAATTGGTTGAAGCATATTTAGGATTGGTTAGAATATCTTGGATCTGTTTCAAAATAGATGGTGGGGGTAACTCTGCAATTGTTTCTTTCGCCATCTTAGCAACGGTCGAGTTAAAATTCTCCAGTTTCTCCTTGATAACTTTTGGGGTCATATCATCCTGGTTCAAAATTTCAGTGACAGGAAGGGTACGATAAAGTTCCACCGCCTTCTTGAAACATGACAGTTTGATTTCTTTCTTGTTGATGCCGATAGCTCTGGCTAGGAACACACCACCCAGATTAAGTCGGCCAGTGAAAAAGGATCCGTTCTTTCCTTGTACCATGCCATCGATCAAAAAATCTGGTCTAATTCCAACTTTACAACTCATCAGAGAATTCTCAAACAACTAAAATGAAATAAAATAGGATTTAATGGGAAAGAGAGGAAAATGGGCTTTATTGTTCACTCGACACTAGGTCATTTCGGGACTAACATATAGTTCATTTTATTTCATTAGGGGTCTTTAGCAGTGGAAGGAAACCCTGAGGACATGGAGAAAACGCACGAGGTTGAACAGACGACCCTACTCCTTGTCACGTACAAGCGGGTAATGACGCATTAACGCTTCGACCACCCAAACTCGCCCAACTGGTCTTATGTAGATGGGCAAATAAAATAATTTTATACGTAATACATGCTTGAATAAAAATAAAAATAAAGCAGAATCTGTGTTTTTAATGAGATTATTGTGAAAAATATTAAACATGCATTATGCAAGAGCTAAACCTGTCAATTTCAGGTCTTTCTTTAGGCCTGAAATCTTATCTAAATTATTAATTAGACATTAATTAACTTATCCAGACCATAATAAACTCCCGATGTCAAGGCTAGCCTTCGATGTCGACTGGATTACAATTCTATATGCTGCTATCGCTCATTGATAATTAAATCACAACAATAGACAATCGAGACTATTAGTTTCGAGGCTAGGCGAAACTTTCATCCGCTTAGTTTTCGGTTCATAGTGGACCAATTTGACTGACATTTTCAGCAAATTCCCTTTACATTATGTAGTTTTTAACTATTATAGTGAGAACTGCTAACTCGTTATCTTATCTCCATCTCCCATAATGTATCTTTAATAAATAAAACCTCACCATAATTTCATTGATTACTTTTTTTTCACTTCGTAAAAACATTGAAAGTCGTCGAATTTTTTCTGCTAGCGGCAATTTTGTGGCATCGATTGGTTCTGGGTTGGGTGTTTTGTGTACAGCGGCAGCAGGCAGACCTTTGTTATCAATGGGGCGTGTCTGGCAGCCTGGTAATGTTTCCCATTTCTTCTCTGTAAATAAACCATTAAAAAATGTAGTTTGTTAAAGCTGCATTTAGTAACTGTATTGAATAAACCATGACTAATATACCGGTGTATTAAATACAAGTTTTTTCACAGTTCATTTCTGACGACGTCTTGAAAAGTGTTCTCTTGTATTTATCAAGCCACAAACAAAATAAACTTCTAAATAACTTGTATTCTGAATATTGTTTAGTGCCCAGGTTCACTTTGCTCATTTCTGTTGATCAGCGGCTGGGGAGGGGGGGGGGAATAGGTTTTACATTTAGATTCAGAACGAACATGATTCTTCTACAGCCATCCTTTTTACAGTGGTTACAACTTAAACATACAGGTTTCAAGTTTAACTGACTACCATGACTAGAGAATAGAATAACGTGATTTATCAACGAATTAACAGAATTTTAAAACAAAATTAAAAGCTTTTGAGCAGTAGTACGGTAAAAATTATGTGTGTCAAAAAGATAAGCACCACCGTTTAAAATGAGGTCTGTTTGATATTTAACCATCAACAATAAATTCAGATGGTTTTTATTTGGAACCATGTAATATCCATCACAAAATACTTCCAGCATAAGTCTTGCCACTCCAAGAAGAATAGTGTCAGGTTCCTTTGGTACCATGGTACTAATCAAACAAGAGGTGTTGAGGACGTGATCCAAGTGAGAGAGGGGGGGGGGGTTGGATGGCTGAATGGTTAGCGTGCGCGCACTGTATCATAAAGTCTGTCATTGAGTCAACTGGCGTGGTTTCGAATCCCCGGTTGTACGTGACAAGGAGTAGGGTCGCCTGTCCAACCTCGTGGGTTTCCTCCGGGTCCTCCGGTTTCCTCCCACAGCTAAAGATCCCTACGCGCAAGCGAATTATGGAAATAAAATTGAACCATATGTTAGTCGAGTGGACGTTAAACCCCATTTCTCTCTCTCTCTCCAAGTGAGAGAGGGATACACATGACGATGGTTATCACTACTCTTGTCTGTAATCCTCATCCTTTTCCTGACCAGATCATCTAATGGACTCCTATATTTTTCGAAATCCTCAATTAAAAAATATCTATTACTTAAATGACCAAATATTCCTGTCTTGTTTTACTTTAAGGTGGTCCTTAACCTTTTGTCAGTTGTATTTATTTTTATAACTTACTTGCACCACCGGCACTGTTTGCGGGAGTTCCAACACCTCCTATAGAATTCAACTCATTGTTAAAAATATAATTTGCGGGTCACGGAAAGATAACTCTGTTTGGAAACATGGTTTGGTGTAGAGGAGTAACCGAAGTTGGCCGAGTGAAATCTGCAGCCGGTTGCCGAGTGAAAAATAGAAAGTAACTCATTGAAGATCCAGTATTGTGCCTCCCGACCCAACTTTTGCTACTATCGTTAACCGGAAACAACAAGCTTTAATGCTAGTCTTCATCAACAAGACGCATTTAAGATTACTGCTGTCCGCGGGTTGTCTGCGGGCTTTAGAGACTGGATAAAGAAGACTTGAGTGTTTTTGGCAGGTTGTTTACCAATTATAACGGAATGGCGCTCTTTTCAAGTTTGGATTGAAAACGATAACGGTTTTTGACATTTAGAAAGGTAATCAGGGATTTAAACATAGTTCAGAATGTGGATGTAATATTAAAGATTGCGAGGAGAAATGTATGGTCATATAAAATAAGATAGTTTTAGTATCATCGACAGCCAACTAGTTGGAGTTGAGGCACTTATTGAATTACGCCCAAGTGACGTATATATAAACGGTATAGTCATTCGGATGGTATCAAAACTGAGATTAGATTATGCCAGTCGGAGTAGAACACAGAATTAATTTGTTAAAATCCCATTTCATTTCATTTTTGATTTCCGTTTCACTCAAAGTCTAAACCTGAGTAATAGTACTAATTCACAAATCTGTGTTGTTAGTGTGTAACTTGTAAGTGAGCACTGGCCACTAAATTTGGTTGGTACATGTATCACTATGTGGATGCTCAGGATCAAAAGAAAGGTAGTATCTCGGTTTTGGTACAGGATAGAGGGCCCGTCAAGCACTATTGTTTAGTTGTTCAGACGGGACAGAAACTGAGATCATGTAGACTATAGGCCTGCACATTGGTTCTAAAAAGTAGGCCTACACTGTAGTGCCACGGACACTGGGTAGGCCCAATATAATGAGACCTACTTCAGTGCTGAACTAGATGCTGTAGATTTTAATATTATTTTATTTCTGTGTTTGTGTTAGGAGTATTTTTATAGTGTCTTGTTTTATTATTTCAGGTTTCAGCTAAGAGTAGGCCTACAGAAAAATCAAGATGGCTCATGGACAGTTAATCGAAGTCATTCAACGCCAGTCTGTACAAGATTTACATCAGCATATTACAGAGGTACAATTAGCCCAAAAACTGGTCTGTAGGGTGCCTGGAAACTGGTCTATACGGTGCCTAGAAACTGGTCTTTTGGGCACCTGGAAAATGGTCTATAGGGTGCCTGGAAACTGGTCTATAGGGTGCCTAAAAACTGGTCTGTAGGGTGCCTGGAAACTGGTCTATAAGGTGCCTGGAAACTGGTCTGTAGGACGTCTGGAAACTGATCTATAGGGTGTCTGGAAGTAAAAATTATAGGGCGCCTGGAAACTGGTCTATAGGGTGCCTGGAAGTAAAAATGAAATGAAATGGGGTTTAATGTCCTGTTGTTCTGCTCCGACTGGGCAAATGGAGACGAGCATGCGCCATATACATTGTGCCATGGGGGAAATTTTGCCCGGGCAGTGGACTATGGCCTACTCTTTTATCAAATTCCAACTACCAAGGGATGTTTTACATGCACATCAATGTGTACGCAGGACCTCAGTTTTTCGTCCCATCCAAATGACTAGACAGCTGTCATTGTCAGACCCTCTATCAGCTGAAATTTACAAGACAAATAAACTTTTTTTCAGAAAATGGCCCAAAGTTTTTAAATATTATTTAATCGTCACATATATTAATCTGATTAAATACAGATTTATATTTTGTTTCGTTTTATTATACTTTCGATGACCTTGTACTTGTAATGGGAGGTTCTGTCAGGGATCTTACGAGCGGTTTATAACCCTATGATGTTAGACATTTGATTAACCTATCAGCATTTATGTTTAGTGTGGGTATTTGGAAATACAATTTAAATCTATATTTTAATGATATTGCGTATCCTCTGCTTCCCTCCAACTACTGTGGTTTTGATTCCCCGGTTGTACCTGATGTCGCCTGTCCGTCCTCGTGGGTTTTCTCCAGGTCCTCCTTCTGTGGTTTCCTCCCACTGCTAAAGACCCCTACGCGCAAGCGAAGTATTGAAATAAAATTAAACCGTATGTTAGTCTCGAAATGACCTGGTTTGTGTCGAGTGGATGTTAAACCCCATTTGTCTCTCTTTTCCTTCCCACTACTTTAAGTTTAGGATGATTGACAGCCTTAATGTACATTATAAAAATCTATGGGAAGTCCAGGTAGTAAGATATTCCCAATGAAAATTCCACAAATAGTGTCTTGGATCCTAATTGCACGATAAAATCTCTATAAATTCGGAACCGAAAACAATTTGATTAAAACACAGATCCTATTTTGTTCCATTTTTTATAGTTCAAAATTTCGTTTTACCTGTCTTGACTACACTAGGATCTGGAAGAGTTATCATATAACAGCCGTTCTAGTTGATGTGGGGAATTAGGCAATGAAAAGATCTGTTATGGCGAGTTCTTGGCGTGCTCTTGCATGGAACTGTGAGTAAACCACTAGAAACGTCAACGCTGACTGATTAATCAATGTCTGACGTCATAGGGTAAAAAGCAGCTCGTTTGACCCCTGACTTGACGTCCCAGTACAACTGGTCAGATCTTCATGTAGTGTAGGCCATCGAAAGTATAAAAAAACGAAGCAAGATTGGAAGCGAAAAGTTTTATTTCCTAAATAAAATGATTTTATTTTATTACAGTTAAAGAAAAATCACGATAACTTACGAGAGGTGATTGAGACGTGCAGTCGTCATGAAAAAGATGAATTATGGGAAGGGATTCAGACGTTTTGTACAACCAAGTTGATGGCCATTGAAAACTTTGAGTTAGAAGATGACGAGGAACAGGTACAGATATTGATGATTTAAGTCCAATAAAACCTCATGGGTTTTCTCTGGGTCCTCTGGTTTCCCCTCCTACTGTTAAACATCATTACACGCAAGCAGTGTCTAGATGTTTGGATGGGACAAACAATAAGGTCCTATGTAATATTGAAAGAAGATTAAAGATCCGATGATAATTGGTTCCTTATATATACCATTGGGTGCATGTTAAAGACCCCTTCACAGTTGGTTCTGTGTATACCGTTGGGTGCAATACAATTGGGTGTAGGGGGGTTGGATGGCCGAATGGTTAGCATGGCGGGCTGTATCATACAGTCTGTCATTAAGTCAACTGGCGGGATTTCGATTCCCGGGTTGTACGTGATAAGGAGTAGGGTCGCCTGTCCAACCTTGTGGGTTTTCTCCGGGTCCTCCGGTTTCCTCTCACTGCTAAAGACCCCTATGTGAAAGCGAATGATTGAAATAAAATTGAACCATGTGTTAGTCCCGAAATGACCTAGTTTGTGTTGAGTGGACGTTAAACCCCATTTCTCTCTCTCTCTACAATTGGGTGCATGTTAAAGACCCCTTTACAGTTGGTCCTGTGTATACCATTGGGTGCATGTTAAAGATCCTGTGGTCCTGTGTATACCATTTGGGTGCACGTTAAAGATCTCTTGATTGTTGGTCCAATGTATACCTGGGGGGTTAGATGGCCGAATGGTTAGCACGTATGCGCTGTATCATAAGGCCTGTTATTGAGTCAACTGGCGTGGTTTCGAATCCCTGGTTGTACATGACAAGGAGTAGGGTCGTCTGTCCAACCTCGTGGGTTTTACCTCCATAGCACACTGTATAGAGCGTTGATCATTTTTATATGCAACTTTTTATTTTTTTATAGAAAATGGCTGAGTTGATTAGATTGTTTGATCATATTATCGCCCTGGCAACCATCACTCTACAAGTAGTACCTGATAATCTTCCTGTAGCCTTGGTTGATACAGCCTCTTTATTACATGGTAATGTATAGAAGATTGTATGAAAGATTGTCATGTTAATTAATGTTTAAATAATAATTTTATATAAAGAAATCTAAAGAAAGACCTGCAATAGGCAAATTTAAGTGGTCTTAAACCATAATAAAACTAACAGTAAATAGAGTTGTCTCCCTTCAATTAGATTTCCTCGACCAGGCGCATTATAACATCTTCCGCATGGTAAGATTGTGTTCGAAGAATAGGTTGGGGAAAATACCTCCAGGGCGTTATATTACGTCCTACACACGGTGAGTGGCAGTTGTCCAGGACGTTATATAACGTCCTATACAGTTAAGGGGTTAAGCAACTGGATATTTAAAACATCATAAATTACATTTGTGTTTTTACGTAGAAATTAGAGAGAGAGATATAAATGGGGTTTAACGTCCACTCGACACAAACTAGGTCATTTTGGGACTAACATATGGTTTTATTTTATTTCAATAATTCGCTTGCGCGTAGGGGGTTTAGCTGTGGGAGGAAACCAAAGGACCCAGAGAAAACCCACAAGGTTGGACAGGCCACCCTACTCCTTGTCACATACAACCAAGGATTCGAAACCACGCCAGTTGATTCAATGACAGGCGTTAGGATACAGTGCGCACGTGCTAACCATTCTGCCATCCACCCCCCTCCCCCATGTAGAAATTACATTTGTGTTTTTACGTAGGCTGTCGATACTAGATATTTATTGTCATCATTACAGGTATAATGTTAACGTTACCAGACACAGCTCACGGTGTGAAGAATTCTCTCGCAGGTCTCTTTGAAACATGGTGGAATAAACAAATAACAGGCCGAGACGAAATCATCGCCAATACTTTCTCCTTCCTGTTACAGGAAACACATCAACCTCATGTTACTGTAAGTTGAAACATGACAACCTCGTGTTACTTTATGCTGAAACATGTCAACCTCATGGACTGTAAGTTGAAACATGACAACCTCGTGTTACTTTATGCTGAAACACGTCAACCTCATGTTACTTTAAGTTGAAACACGTCAACTTCATGTTACTGTAAGAGAGAGAAATGGGGTTTAACGTCCACTTGACACAAACTAGGTTATTTCGGGACTAACATATGGTTCAATTTTATTTTAATAATTCGCTGGCGCTTGGGGGTCTTTAGCAGTGGTTTGAAACCGGAGGACTCTAGAAAACCCATGAGGTTGGACAGGCGTGCCTACTCCTTGTCACGTACAACCGGGGAATCGAAACCACGCTAGTTGACTCAATGCTCAATGGCAGACCTTATGATACACCGCGCACATGCTAACCATTTCGGCTGGGAAGCTCTTGTCAATGGTCCCCTGTGCCTTACCCATCGACCAACAGGGCCCCAACGTAGAAATGATAGGTGTTTTTAATTTCTTGTTTTATGGCATACAATGTATTATAAATATAAAATAATATGACTTTTTAGATATTTTTTTTAAGATGGCTATGATCAAGAGACTGTGGAAATTACATGATTATTTACTGGATGTAGATATTACCATGGATACGAATAACATGTTACGAGGACAGCTATTACAGTGTTGTTCAAATCATATGTTTTATAAATGTCCACAGGTTAGTATTACAACATATTGATATTTAGTTATATATATTGACGGGGGGTTGGATGGCTGAATGGTAAGCGTGCGCACGCTGTATCATAAAGTCTGTCATTGAGTCGACTGGCGTGGTTTCGAATCCCCGGTTGGACGTGACAAGGAGTAGGGTCGCCTGTCCAACATCGTTGGTTTTCTCCGGGTCCTCCGGTTTCCTCCCAGTCCTAAAGACCCCTACGCGCAAGCGAATTATTGAAATAAAATTAAAAACCATATGTTAGTCTCGAAATGACCTAGTTTGTGTCGAGTGGACGTTAAACCCCATTTCTCTCTCTCTCTGTATATATATTGACAAGTGTCATGCATGGGGCTGTGGCTCCCGTTATAAGTTACATGTGAAATAGATGAGTGTTTTTATCACAACCTCTGATTGGACGCTACTGTTCATGTGTCTGCAGTAAATGGAGATAACGTATCTATCAGTTCATTAATTGTAAAGCAATCTAGCAACATCCGGATTTTGTAAAACTTACAGTCATTGCTTCAGGAACATGACATTTCCAGGGCTATTTACTAATTGAATTCACATAATTACTATTGTACAAAATGAAAGCATAAATATATATTAAACTATATATAAATTCTTTTCCCAGGGTAAAATGTTTTTAAGTTTCCTGTTTTCACTGTCCGATGATTTTATCTTGCAACTACATACAGCAATAAAACAAGAAATACCCTTTGTTTCCAAGTAAGACTTTAATAGCCTTTCTATCCAAGTAAGACTTAAAGTAGCTAAGTCTCTAACTCAGTATCATCCAAAACCTTCGACATTGAAAACATGAATTATTTGTCAATTTTAATCAACATTGGTGTTGTGATCTTACTGGGAAAAGATGGGCTTCTGATATCCAATATTTAAGACAAAATAAACATTTAACGATTGGTACACGAATCGTGTACCATAATGCGTTTCAGCGCAATTTGTAACAAGCGACCCGAGAAACAGGGTTAGACATATTGCACAAGTCATGTCAAATGGTGACCCCATATTCTTATCTGGAGAGCATGCGCAATAAATACTAACGGTATAGAATGGAATAACCAGTCGCTAGAGATTACCATTCGATTGAGACTTCTGGCGTATTTTGCCGAACATAACTGCTTTGAAATTAGAGTAAGACGGAAACGATTGAATGTAAATCAGTTATTTACATTCATATTACATTATTATATACGTTGCGACCCATTTGTGTCAATTTGTCGGTCCCAAATATTAGCGATTTAGCTCCTTTAAATACCCTTTCTATCCAAGCAAATCTTAAATAGCCTTTGTATCAAAGTAAGACTAAATACCCTTTGTTTAAATATACCCTGTCTACCTTAATAAGATTTAAATACTCCTTGTTTCAAAGTAAGACTTATACTACAATTTGTTTCATAGTAAGACTTACTAACATTTATTTCAAAGCAAGACTTACTGCTCTTTGTTTCAATGCAAGACTTACTGCCCTTTGTTTCAAAGCAAGACTTACTACCCTTTGTTTCTAAGTAAGACTTATTCTACACTTTGTTTCAAATTAAGCTTTAAACCCTTTGTTTATATTCTCTTGTTACCCTTGGTATCTTATAATGCCTGTCTTGGGAGTGTTTACCTACTGTAATGAATGTTATATTTGCGGTTTATCGTCCTAGTGTTCTGCTCCAACTGGGCTAATGAAGATGGGCATACACCATACAGTATGCTATGAGGGGAATTTTGCCTGGGCAGTGGTACTATGGTCTACTCTTATATCAAATTCCAACTGCCATGGGATCTTTTATGTACACGAGACCGCCCTGCACCACTGACACGGGAGAACCACATCGGAAAATCCCGATGAACTTTCTTGGCCAATGAAGGGGTCAAACACGCGATCTCCAGGCTAGCAAGCCAGCGTCTTACCAATTTAGCCACCATGGCTCCCAGGTATTTGAGAGCTATGACCATGTTGTAAATGACATTGTTATAATTAAACTGGGTATTTAAGAGCTATGACCATGTTATAATTAACTGTTGTTATATTTAGATCTTTATTAGAGGGTGTTGGTGAGGTATATTTTCGAGCTTGGCAGAAATCATCTGGTTCTACGAGACAGGTAGCTACATTATTTATATATAATACCCTTTTTATTTTAAATTTATTTATACTGGCTGGTGTTAGAGCTGGCTCAATTTTCTCCTTCATTTGCTTGATGTTGTAATGTTTAGTTTGAACTAAATGGGAATTTGACCAGGGCAGTGGAGCTTCCACTTTCTTCTATATCTAACTTTTATCTATTTTCCATTTTGTACTTGAATGAACGTCATCAGATGGGATTTGCACTACACATGCAACCATTTAAATAAAAATTACGACTTTTAAATCTCTAACTGAAATGATGGGACATTTAAACTATTCCAAAATCACAGACATTATTATCGCTTAATCCTGTACGTCCAGTCCAGGATTTTTAGAATCCTACCTATATCTGCCATAAACAATATAGTCAATTATGTTTATTAGTTATGTATTTGTGATTAAGTCTCCCTACATAACAGTGATGTTTATTTGTGAATAAGTCCCCAGCCTATTAGCGATGTTGTTATGTTTTTTGTAGATAATAGAAGAGAGATGTTTACAGAATTTGATGCATCAGGCGGCCGTCGCGCCACGAACGGGAGATCCCAACATGTCAAACATTTTACTTAAAGTAAGTTTTAACTCAATTAAACATTCTGATCAAAATATAAGGTATTACTATAGCTAATCCCTTGCAAAACTACAAAGTGAAAGTTGAATTTCTTAAAAGAATATCAATCCAAAAATAGTTAAACTGTTTTCAGTATTACAAAGATAAGGCAACACAAATAAAATAAGTTGTTTCTCGGGCACCGCCCGCACGCAAAATTGGTTGCGCGTGCGGCCTATTTATTAGTCTTGATGAAAAATAAAAAATATGTAACGCCCGCCCGAACATCGATAAGCAAGTCATAAAAAAAATATGCCGCATGTATCTACATGCCCCATTCGTGAATATCCATTCAAATGTATTAAACTGATTCAGATGTAAACGCTCATTTACGGGTCTTTTTTATTGATATCGAAAGAACCTCCATTTTTGTATCACGTGATTTTAATTACCTCCCCTTGTGAACTAGAATTTGATTCGTGTTAAACACCGAAAGTCATTGACAACAATGCAATGTATTTCAATCATTCGATCTTAATCGGCTCATTATTGCCGGCTTCAGTCGGTCCATGTTTGAAAAAATCCTACTTATAAAACAATGAATCGTAGAACAGGTTAATTATTATAACTTGTGGCTACGAATACGATACGATGATAGTCACCATACCTTAGTCAGAATCTGGGTCATTAGCACGTTTAACGGTAGTTTTGATAATCCGGAAAATAATAATTGGATTACACATTTGATGGTTTTACTGACGAGTTGTTAGTTAAATTTAAATAGTCATTCGATATAAACCCCAGATAGAACACCGAATATGCTGAGAAACACACCAAATATCCTGAGAAACAGTCATTTCACGAATCCCGATGACACGTGACATGCATTGGTTGGAATTAGGTCAATCATTATAAACCAGCGATACTAGATTTAGATCGAAGTGTCGTTTACCGTGATGATTATTTTTGATACACATGCTGACAGAGGCTTACTCTTTAAAATATTGTCGTTATTATGGACGGCTATTAATAGTCGTTTGTACGGAATTTTATTTTAAACCAATTTCAATTATGGTTGTCACCATTACCATTAGTAAGCTACATTACGTGAATTAAATATGGAAAATTATTTTCCTTTCAGTCAGTGTTCAGTGTTTGAGTAGACTTGATTTTTGGATTTATGTTCTAAGTATGTATAATATATAACTGAAAGCAAAACCGTAGACAAGTAATGACTTTCTCATTAAAAAAAAAAAAAAATACAAGGCCGCCCTCCCGCCCCAACAATTTTCAACAATAGGCAAATTTTATTTTGCACCATCCTCTAGCCAGAAATGAGATAAAAAAAAAAATAAACCGCCCTCCCCCCCTACAGTTTCAGCTGTCAGTTGCCCGAGAAACAAGACATTTATTTTGTGTAGCCTAAGATATGAATTGAGTGTTTCCCAAAATTCATCATCCACATTGCAGTACGACAGGAAGGGTTGAGCGTTGGGTAATATCTTTGGATGGACTAAATTTTAATCCGATTGAATCCAAGCTGGGAGATTCTGGGGTGGGAATACCACTTTAATATTAACTTTAGAATAAACTTCTGGGGTGGGAACTCCACTTTAATATGGAGTTCAAATCAATCCTGTTTGGTCCAAGAATGTTTTCCAAATCAGGCCGAACAGTCTGTCACTGATTGTGCTCAGATCCATAATTAAAAAAAAAAGAAAAAAAAAAAGATGTTTCAAGAAAGCATTCACTTTGTGATTGATTTTGGACTGCACTCAATATTATCATTATTGTTAATGTTAGCCTGTGCTCAATATTATCGTTATTGTTAATGTTAGCCTGTGCTCAATATTATCGTTATTGTTAATGTTAACCTGTGCTCAATATTATCAGTATTGTTAATGTTAGCCTGTTTTAGACTGTGGTGATTAGTTTTGGACTGTGATAAGTTTTTGAACTGTGTTCTATGTTAGTAGTATTAATTTCTGACTGTTTAATGATTTTATTTGTAGTTATTACAGTATATACACAAACAGAAAAAACAGACAGGTGTAGATAAAATGTTGTACGATCTATATTCACCGTTTCTATGGAGATATTTAAAAGTGAGTATTTAAAGATACATTCCTGCGTACAAACTGGGTGATTTAATGGTATATATGGACTAAAAACATATTCAAACTAATTAATTTGTCATAATTTTGCTTCAAATCCTTCTCAAACATTGTAATTGCGAAGGAATGCCCTGCTATAAAAATTCGATCAAACCAGGTCATGTTTACGTCACGTGACTTACCTCTCTTGGAAGTCAGAGGAGAATTCATTACATACATAAGACAATGTTGTCTTTAATCGCTTACTATTTATTACAAATATGGAATCCTAATTAAATTCTCGGATTATTCACTACCCGCGTCTTTTTCCGTCATTTTTATCTCAGAAAGTGTGGTACATCCAACTCTTCATAAAGTTTATCAACTTGTACATCAAGCGCTCAATGTTCGCGTGTGACCTTTGACATCACGCATGCAGAAATTCTTAATTGTCAGGCTGTCGATTAGGGGAACCCTTACATTTTTGTCCTGTATACGCTCCATGAGTGTTTTTCAGGGCATCCAGTATTTTTCTAGTAAGATTGGATATCTCTACTTTCCATATATACCAAAATTGCCATACTTTTATTGGAAATAACCACCCAATAAATACTTTTCTGGGAACCCATCTTTAATATGATAAAATTTATGTTGTATGATCTATATTCACTGTTACTATGGAGATATTTAAAAGTACCGGTAAGTATTTAAAATGATAAAATGTTTTATGATTAATGTGTTGTTTTTTTTTTCCAGGCCCCTCATTCTGAAGTACGAGCGAATTGTGCAGGATTATTAATGGATGTTTTTCCCATTAGTGTTGATGAAACTGAAGATGTTCAAGATGATTTGATGCAGAAGCAATATGAATTCCTTATTGTAAGAACCATATTTAATTACATAGAAACGAAATGGGATTTAACATCCAACTGGCGAAATGAAGATGGGCATATGCCATGCAGTGTGCTATGAGGGAAATTTTGCCTGGACAGCGGCACTACGGCTTATGGGGGTTAAACAGCCTACTGTTCTGCTCCGACTGGGCTTATAAAATGGTATAAGGCCACACAGTGTACATGAGGGAAATTTTGCCCTGACAGCGACAATACCAGACTATGCCAGGCCCTCTGTTTTGCACCACTTATTCTTATTAGTGAATCTATTTTGAATAGACATGGAAAGGTTTGGGGGCGTTTGGAAAAGTGGACCATGAAAAATTTATGAAACATTTTCTTTTTATTTTGCTTGAACAATAACAATGAAAAACTCCACAGACCCAAAACACTCTATGAAAATTGTTTTAATACGAAAATCTTGTGGAATGTATTTGTTTTCAGAAACCCAATAGCTTGTGGAACTCTTGTGGTGAAAAGTTCCACACAAATGGCCCCAAACCTTGCCATAAATGATTTTGATTGGAATAATTTATATCATATTTTAGGCATTATTGAAAGATCTGAACCATGTTGTATGGTTATTACTATAAAATGAAATGAAATGAGGTTTAACATCCTACTGTTTACTCCTACTGGGCTAATGAAGACGGGCATACGCCATACAATGTGCTATGAGGAAATTTTGCCCAGACAACGGTACTATGGCCTACTCTTATATTGAATTCCAACTGCCAAGGGATCTTTTACGTGCATGCCAATGTACATGTATACACTGGACCTTGTTTTTTCGTCCCACCCGAACGACTAGATAACTGTCCTTGTCAGGCTCTCTGTCCTGCATCACTGACAAGGGGGAAACCACCTTGGAAAATCCCGATGAACTTTCTCAGCCAATGCAGGGATCGAACACGTGACCTCCAGGCTAGCGAGCCATTATCTTACCCACTCAGCCGCCGTGACTCCTATTTACTGTAATATATTATATTTTAGGGTCTACTGAAAGATCCGAACCATGTTGTACGGTTAATTGCTATAAAGGGTGTGTGTCATATATTGAGGGAATACTGGGAGTTGATACCTGTAACAGCGTTAAACAGTATACTGGTTGTTCTAGTCAAAGATCTAGCGTGTGACAGTTCTACTGATAGTATACGACAAACTGTAATACAGGTAGGTAGACACAGTCATCCAGACAGCACATTACTCATCAACCTTAAACAGGCAATACCTTGATAAGTGAAGGCCTACCTTACAAAATTTTAAAATTCAAACCAGAAGCATTCAAGACGACGGTCCAGTAAACCTGACCCCTCAATTGCCTTTGTTTTAATACTATGTATGTATATTAGCTATGGGTTTTACATAGGCTAACCCTGTTCCACAATCCCATTCAGACAACCTGAATAAAGATATTGTTTATATAAAAAAACCCAAAAAAACCCCAAGAAAACAAATTACGACTATCAAAGGTAGACAATCAACTGGCTTAGCTTCAAACGGAATAAAATAACGACCATGAGAAGATTACTCCGTCTGCAGAAGATGTTGAATGTTGACCCTCATTGTAAATTCATTTTCTCTTTATGGTTTGGACCTGAGGTTGCTGAATCGTGACAAAATTTCAATTGATAATATATTTGCTAAAAACATACAGAAGTGACATATTTTTGGACTGAATTTCCTATTCTCTCAATATTTTAGGATAAAAAATCCTTCAGATGATGATAAGGGCAATAATTATGTTTTATATCCAAACCTGGAAATATGGCACCTGTCACAGACAATGTCAGGCACAGATTCAGGCTTTGTCAGACAAGCTTTGTCAGAGTTTGATATGTCTGGTAGATAACAGATTACCCATCCCAGGGATCTTCTCAGTCAACCCTCAAACCACAACGATTGTGGTTTTAATAATTATGTTTTTATATCCAGGGTTTGACGTGTCTGGTAGATAACAGATTAACCCATACAACTCTACAAACAGTTTTACCACAGCTAAAACTTAATATACATGATACATCCGAGAGAGTACGGGTAGCCATGATGGATTTATTGTTGAAAATTAAAGATATACGAACATTTAAGGTAAGTTTACAACTAATTATATGCCCAGTTACATATAATTATATACTCTCATTTCGCCGAATGGTTAACACGTGCGCTCTGTATCATAAGACCTGTCATTGATTCAACTGGAGTGGTTTATTCCCCGGCTGTACATGACAAGGAGTAGGGTCACCTGTCCAACCTCATGGGTTTTCTCCGGGTTCTCCGGTTTCCTCCCACTGTTAAAGACCCCTACGCACAAGCGAATTATTGAAATAAAATTAAACCATATGTTTGTCCTGAAATGACCTAGTTTGTGTCGAGTGGACGTTAAACCCCATTTCTCGCTCTCTCTTTCATGTAAATTGACAAATAATTATACACTCATATAAAGTATATTAAACATTCATTATGCAAGATCTTAATCTGTCTATTGCAGGTTTTTTTTTTAGGCCTTAAATGTTATATAAACTATTAATTAGACATTTATTATCATAAGTCTATAATCAACTCTCTAGAATATCGGATGGCACAGATTAGAATACCCCCAATTTAAATTTAATGATAAAATGGACACATGAGACTAAGTCTTGTTTGTCAAGTACCATTGTTACAATAATAAACAATCTGCAAGGATGACGTAAAAAATCCAATTTGATTAAAATACATATCTATATTTCGTTTTGTTTTTTATACTTTCAATGGCCTACACTACATGAAGGTCGCGTCAAGTGTAGTAAAGACAAGTAAAACAAAATTTTGAACTATAAAAAAACGAAATGAAATAGGATCTGTGTTTTAATCAGATTGCAAAAAATCCTATTTTTATTTCAGTATTGGAACATTGTTCCTGTCAAACATATTTTATCGCATTTAACGATCACAGAATCAGCTCCGGTCAAACGACGAATCATGAAGTTGATGTTCAAGACATTTTTTCCCGTTGACCAGGACGATGACAAACAGATAGACCGTCTGGTTTCGTTAATTGAGATGAATTCAGAATCTGTCCGCCATTTTGTAAAATCATTTCCACAATTTATGACTGTTGCAGAAACAGGTAAGTGTTAAGACTTGGTCTTGTCCCCTTTAACCTTTTAAAAATAGGGACTAAAAGACACAAGTATATATTGAAGATAAATCTGTCACTGTCTACATTAGCCCAGTTGGTTGGACGATAAACCCCTATTTCATTTTATTTGTATCTTTAAAACTTGTCAAACAAATCAAATACCTTTATACACTGTAATCCGGGTATGATTTTTACAAATTTTCAAACAAAGTTTTGATATTGAGTGAATGGGGAAAACAGCTGATCAAAATCATAATTTGGGAAATCTATTCATAATGCTGTGTTTGTTTATAACAGCTTGACTAATTGGCTAATTTTTATGATTTACGTATTTATCAGTCAATGATGAAACCCAGAGGCCGATATAACCAAGATCCTACACTTGTATACTTGCTTAACCTCGTTTGATTTCTCCGTTTCCTATGGTTTTCACCCACATTGCTAGAGACCCATATGGTTTCCCCCTCATTGTTAGAGACCCCTATGGTTTACCCAACATTGCTAGAGACCCCTATAGTTTTCCCCTCATTGCTAGAGACCTCTATGGTTTACCCAACATTGCTAGAGACCCCTATAGTTTTCCCCTCATTGCTAGAGACCCCTATGGTTTACCCAACATTGCTAGAGACCCCTATAGTTTTCCCCCTCATTGCTAAAGACCCCAAGGCACAGGCAAATTATTGAAATAAAAAAGTATGATATGTTAGTCCCGAAACGGCCTTAGTTTGTGTTCAATGGACATTTCAAATTGTCAGCTCTTGACTTGCCATCAGTAAAAGGGACGATATCACCTGCTGGTCATAGTTAATTTGTCGATTTGACATTGAGTTATCCATTGTCTATTTGTTGATTGAGTTATCCATTGTTATTTCTCACTATGTTTGTTAACAGGTAAATATATGATCACGGTTTGTCGAACTATTTTAACGTTAATCAAACAGTCGGAGAAAGGAAGGGAAGGATTGGATGATACAAATACAGATGACGGTGATGACATGAAAGATACTACCCAATCAGAGGTAAGTAAACTGTTCCGCAGTTAATGAAGGTAGCGTAAACGCCATACAGTGTGCTACTACCCAATCAGAGATTGGTAAACTGTTCTGCACGGACTGGGTTAATGAAGGCGGGCAAACGCCATGCAGTGTAATAAAATACACTGCATGACTAGACGTTTTAAATTAATTATATAATATCTTTGAATTATTCACAAAAAATAAGGTATAACACCTGAGGGGATAAGTGACAATATAAACAAAAAAAAATATAATTTTTTAACATAAAAGTTTGACTTTAATTAGATTGTTGGTTATTCAGGATTCACAGGAAGTTGATTGTGAGGGATTGAAGCTGACGGATCTTCACATCATGCATGGTTTTCTAGAAACGTTACTGATTTTATGGACAGTAACGACAGACTTATATAGTGTAAGTAATATTATTATATGGACAGTAACAACAGACTTATGGTGTAAGTAATATTATTATATGGTCAGTAACGGCAGACTTATATGGTGTAAGCAATATTATTATATGGACAGTAACAACAGACTTATATGGTGTAAGTAATATTCTATGGACAGTAACAACAGACTTTTATAGTGTAAATCCTGATGATATTTCTGGGTCAATACTGGGATCAAATTCGGGACCTCCAAGTTAACGAGTCAAAGTCTTACTTATCAAGCCACCATGACTCCTTATATGGATCATGATCCATGACTTTAATTATATGTACTGCATTAGGCTTGGGTATCACACATAACTTGGTTATCACACATAGACTTGGTTATCACACATAGACTTGGTTATCACACATAGACTTGGTTATCACATATGATGAATAACGCTATATTTACTACGTACATAGCCTGATTATTTTAATTGTTTTTATTGTGATTTTCAGTCGGAACATATTGAACTGTTAAAAGATTTACAGAGAAAGTTTCGTGTTGCTGTTCCGATGATGTTAAAGGCCCTGCAGGTGAATAAACTTTCCTTATTAGGAAATCTAACAACTCACAGTACTGCTCTCTAGACTGGTTCAAACCGTCTGAGACAGATAACTTGTGTATGGTCCTTAAATAATGAGGCTCAATCTAATTAAAACACAGATCCTATTTTGTTACGTTTTTTATAGTTCAATTCGTTTTACTTGTCTTTACTACGCTACGATCTGGAAGTTTTGTTATATAACCCACGTTTTAGTTGATGTGGGGGATTAGCCAATGGAATGGTCTGTTACGGCGAGTTTTTGGCGTGCGGTGCACGCAAACTGGGTAACTCACTAGAAACATCAACGCTGATTCGTTAATCAAATGTCTGATGTCATAGGGACAATAGCCACCCGTATGACCTCTGACGTGACCTTCCACTACAACAGAGGTAGTAAAGACCATCGAAAGTATAAAAAAACGAAATATAGATCTGTGTTTTAATCGGATTGATTGAGGCTTGTATCTTTGTACAATCATGAATCAATTGATATTATACATGACATTCTTTCTGAAGAGCTTCTCTGATGAGCGAAAAATACTTAAAAATGTGAACATGTTTCTAGACTGGTGTTGAAATCAATTTGTATCGACGTATCGTTATTTACTGTGCAGGTTTTCGGTTGTGCTAATCATGAATCGATGGTTGTTATATACAGTGCACTCTGTCAATTCCGACATCGTACGGGATCTATACAATATGCTGGATTACACAGCATGTCGGAATATTCAATTGCCTGAATATCGGAAGTATTATACCAGAAGGAAGTATTATTATAGTGCACCCTCGAATACTCAGAACTTAAAACATGATAACGCTTTCTGTACATTCAGTATTTTATTACATCACTAGCAGAATGCCCGGCTTCGCTCGGGGGTCATAACCCCGAAACCGGAAGTGGTAGACTATCGCCACCTGGTATATGTTACTACCCGGTCCGAGCTACCCCGATACCCCAAATTTCAGACTCAGGGCAGACCCCACAAAACCGGAAGTGGTAGACTAACGCCACCTGGCCTATGTTACTCCCCGGTCCGAGCTACCCCTATACCCCAAATTTCAGACTCGGGGCAGACCTAGTGTAGCCGCCAACCCGGAACAGACAGACAAACAGACAGACAAACGACAGTCTCAAATATTAGTATAGATTACACTGCATCTTTTTGGTCTTCAATTGAAGTTAGACTTATCTTCGAAGCCACATGTTCATTATATATATGTTTATATTTATAGGATCATGAATCGAGTGATTTAATAATACAGATAGCTGGTCATCTTCCATCACATTATGTTCCTACTATCAGGTTAGTGTGACATCACTTTTATCGTCCTGCTCGCACTGTTCACAGAAAGTGTGTTTAGCAGACAAATGGGAGAGAAAGAGAAATGGGGTTTAACATCCACTCGACACAAACTAGGTCAATTTGGGACTAACACATGGTTCAACTTTTATTTATAAAATTCGCTTGCACATAGGGGTCTTTAGCAGTGGGAGGAAACCGGATAACCTGGAGAAAACCCACCAGGTTGATCAGACAAATGGATAAGTCCATTGCCAGGGAAGTACCGTGTAAGTATAAGGAATCTCGAAAAATGCAAAGACATTCTCAGGCGCAAATTAAGGCTTTGTCCGATACATTCCCAATGTCAGGCACTGATTTGCCTTTTTACCCTGTATGTCCATCTTTAATGTGAAGCATTGTGTCCATTAGAGGATGAACCCTATCGATATTCACCAATCCACATCTTTCAATTCTAGAGTTATTCCCCTTTGCCTAAATATCAAATTTGGTCAATATCCAGATTTCCTTTCGGATAAGCAGCTGTCACGGCATTGCTGCTGCGTGGCTATAATAATAAATTATGAATTTGAAGAGTGCAGTTCAATGTTTTGGATCATTTGATGTCTATGTGAAGTCTGTTGCATAAAACTACACCACCACATGTCAGAAAAACACGATATCTATACTTGGTTCTTGATTAGGGGTTTGATGGCAGAATGGATAGCACTTGCACGCTGTATCATAAGGCCTGTCATTATTGAGTCAACTGGCGTGGCTTCTATTCCCAGGTTGTATGTGACAAGGAGTAGGGTTGCCTGTCCAACCTCATGGGTTTTCTCTGAGTCCTCTGGTTTCCACCCACTACTAAAAGACCCCTACTCGCAAGCGAATTATTGAAATAAAATTAAAGCCACATGTTAGTCCCGAAATGACCTAGTTTGTGTCGAGTGGATGTTAAACCCCATTTCTCTCTCTCTCTGGTTCTATATTTGGATGGCACTGCCAACTGTAGTTGATTGGCTGATGATAAAGTACGCGATGGGTGATAAAAGGAGAACAGATCTTTTAATTTCCCCCTTGATAATCTTCAAAAAGTTTCCAGATTTAAATGAGATGTTTTAAATTGACCTCCATTAATATTGATATTATATTTTTGAATAGTTTAAAATGTGTGTCCAAGTTACGTCAACAAACGGACATCAGTGAAACCAAAGATTACAAGATGTTTCTCGAGGGAGCATGTCGATGGCAGAAAGTTGACGATGTATTTAGTCTGATCACTGATTGGTTGACGAGAGAATTAGATGGACAGAAATCAAGTGTAGATAACTCTAATACGGATCAAGATCTGTCATCAAGTGTAAGTGTCGAATATTTTTATTGGATATTATTTACTGGCTCAATGTTTGAATTCGACACAGTGAAGTGGAAATGGCCACATATCTTCACTGGTGCAGAAAAGTAGGGACGCTAAGCTTCATTTCGTTTTGAATTCCCGATTGCAAGATGTGGATTTTTTGGAGTTTATTTCGTAAACAAATTATTGAGAAAAATAAGTCACTGTATGTTAGTATCAACATGCTTCATCCTGACAGCCTTCATTCCTTTGTATTCCAGAAGTAAGACATTCTTCCTTTTATTCCTTTGTATTCCCCGGTCCAGAAGTAAGACATTCTTCCCTTTATTACCTTGTATTCACCTATCCAGATGTCAGACATTCTTCCCTTTATTACCTTGTATTCCTTCATTCTGTTGATAATAATAATAATAGTACTGTCTTTTATTTTGGGAGCCACGTTGGACAGGTGGGTAAGGCGCTCACTCGCTAGCCTGGAGGTCGGGTGTTCCATCCCTGCATTGGCCGAGAAAGTTCATCCCGATTTTCCGACGTGGTTTCCCCTTGTCAGTGATGCAGGACGGAGGGCCTGACAAGGACAGCTGTCTAGTCTTTCGGATGAGATGAAAAACCGAGGTCCCGTGTAAACATTGGAATGCACGTAAAAGATCCCTTGGCAGTTTGAATTCGATATAAGAGTAGGCGATAGTGCCGCTACCCAGGCAAAATTTCCCTCATAGCACACTGTATGGCGTATGCCCGTCTTCATTAGCCCAGTATAGGAACAGAACAGTAGGACGTTAAACCCCATTTCATTTCATTTCATTTGTCTTTTATTTTTTCGTTTCCAGATTAAAAGATCCAAGTTAAAAGGGAAGAAACGAGTTGGATTCGTAGAACCTGAAGTTGCACCGCCTCAAGCTAAATTAGGATTGGACTATCTTGATCACATGACCAGCGATCACATGTGTCAGATGATAATTATGAATAAACATAGGGCATCGCTACAGAACCTTATAAAAACCCTGCAGTTATATCAGGTATAAACATCACTATAGGACCTTATAAAAACCCTACAGGTATAAACATCACTATAGGACCTTATAAAAACCCTACAGGTATCAACATCACTATAGAACCTTATAAAAACCCTACAGGTATCAACATCCCTATAGAACCTTATAAAAACCCTACAGGTATAAACATCACTATAGAACCTTATAAAAACCCTACAGGTATAAACATCACTATAGAACCTTATAAAAACCCTACAGGTATAAACATCACTATAGGACCCTATAAAAACCCTACAGGTATAAACATCACTATAGGACCCTATAAAAACCCTACAGGTATAAACATCACTATAGGACCCTATAAAAACCCTACAAGTATAAACATCACTATAGGACCTTATAAAAACCTTATAAAGCCCCTACAGGTATAAACATCGCTATAGAACCTTATAAAAACCCTACAGGTATAAACATCACTATAGGACCTTATAAAAACCCTACAGGTATAAACATCACTATAGAAGCTTATAAAAACCCTACAGGTATAAACATCGCTATAGAACCTTATAAAAACCCTACAGTTATAAACATCACTATATACAGGACCTTATAAAAACCCTACAGTATAAACATCACTATAGAACCTTATAAAAACCCTACAGGTATAAACATCACTATAGAACCTTATAAAAACCCTACAGGTATAAACATCACTATAGAACCTTATAAAAACCCTACAAGTATAAACATCGCTATAGGACCTTATAAAAACCCTACAGGTATAAACATCGCTATAGGAACCTTATAAAAACCCTGAATGGTTTAAACTGATGTTCATGAATGACAGCCATATAATAATAATATATTAATAATAATAATTAATTTATATCTCGCCGACAATTCAAATCAGTGAGTTGCTCTCGAGCGCTTTACACAAGTACAACTAATGACTGATTTGGACAGCCATGATGAATGATTTCGACGGCCATGAATGATTTCCACGGCCAGGATGAATGATTTGGACGGCCATGAATGATTTCGACAACCATGAATAATTTTGTCTTAACCAATGACCATGAATGATTGTGTTGTTATATTTTTCTAGGAATGTGGGAATAAATTAATACAGGGAGATTCATCAGCAGAAATTAAAAATCCTGATTTAATTCTACAAGCGTTTACACTACAGTTAAAATGTGTAATACTATTACATAGTGAGGTAAGTTGCTTCAATTTTTATTTCTAAATAAAGATACATTATGGGAGGTAAGATAAAGAGCTGACAGTTCTCACTATAATGGTTAAAAAAAACTAGATAATTTGCTGAAAATTTCAGTCAAATTGATCCACTATGAACCAAGATTTTAGCGATTGAATTTCCGGCCTAGCCTCAATCATCATTACTAAAGTCGGTAGGATAAAAAACATAGTCTCCTCAATTATCCATTTCTTGATTAAATTATGAATGGAAGTCGAACAGGAACCTAATCCAATAAACATGGCAGGCTAGCGATGCCATTGAGAGTTGATTATGGTCTTGATAAGTTAATTAAGGTCTAATTAATAATTAGATAACATTTCAGGCCTAAAGAAAGACCTGCAATAGACAGATTTAGCTCTTGCATTATGTATGTTTTAAAAAATGCTATGTTTTCATAAATCACTGATCTATACACTTCTTGCCACATTGTCTATCGTCTTTCCTCAATTTTTATAAATAGATAGATAGATGGAGATGGGATTTAACATCCATTCGACACAAACTTGGTCATTTCAGGACTAACATATGGTTCTATTTTATTTCAATAATTCGCTTTTACGTAGGTCTCTCTCCCTCTCTCTCTCTCTCTCTCTCTCTCTCTTGGAGTCAATGACCAACAAATGTTAGGAACCACTGATGTAAATGAACACTTGTTTGTTGGAATTTAATCTGATTAAAATACAGAACTACATTTCGTTTTGTTTTTTTTTATACTTTCCATGGCCTACACTACATGAAGATCTGACCCTATGATGTCAGGCCTTGATTAATCAATCCGTATTGACGTTTCTAGGAGTTTACCCACAGTTCTGTGCACAGAACTCTAACAACTTGCCGTAACAGACCGTTTCATTGGCTAATTCCACACATCAAGCAGAACATGTGTTGTATAACAATTCTTCCAGATCCTAGTGTAGTAAAGACAAGTAAAAGTAAATTTTGAACTATAAAAAAACGAAACGAAATAGGACCTGTGTTTTAATCAGAGTGGTTGGAATTCAAAGAAGACCATTGGGGGGGTGGGGGAGGCTAAAGTATTTCATAAAATCTTGATAAATCTTTTATTTACAGGAAGAAGAGAATTGTATTGCCAGTAAAAATATCAGTCCGATATTAACGTGGGCTGAGCAGCACCTTCTACTCAACTTCCGACCCGTGGAAACATCGGGGTTATCGACTACGCAAGTAAACAGCACAAACATAAACAACACAACAAACTTAAATACGACCAAACGTAAACGAGCTTTACGCGATTTATCAACGTTTTATCTTCAACCAGATGCCATGAACGACACGACTGCCAACCTGGCTAAAGATTCAACCAATGAAAGAACAGAATCAAGTACAAACATGGCCAATAATTCACAGTTGGCTATTGACATGATGAAGGTTCGTATAATTCACGAAAATAAAATGAAATGGGGTTTAACGTCCTAGTGTTTTGCACCGACTGGGCTAATGAAGACGGGTAAACACCATACAGTGTGCTATGAGGAGATGTTGCCCAGGCAGCGGCACTGTGGCCTATTCTTATATCAAATTCCAACTGTCAATGGTTCTTGTATGTGCACACCAAGGTGTACACAGGACCTCGCTTATCGTCCCGTCCAAACGACTATACCTTGCCAGACCCTCCGTCCTACACCACTGACAAGGCGAAACCGTGTAGGGAAATCCAGATGAACTTTCCAGGTTAAGGAGCCAACATCTTACTCACTGAGCCACTATGGCTACTGTATAATTCAGGAAGATATTTGACTGACTGATTGGGGTGGGCGAAGTAAAGGTGGCATATTATCTATTCGTTGACACAACAGCGATTACCGTGAAACTTTCATCTGGAATTTTAATTTTTTTTCTCTTTTTGCCCCTCAGGCCCATGCCTAAGCTGGGCTTTGCCCTAATTAGGTGGTTTCATGATCGATCCAGGTGGTGTTGGTCAAGAAAGATTTCCAACAGAATTTTCCCTATGTCAATGCAGTCTGTTTCACAGAGGATTACGAAAATCTTCTAATATCTCTGTAAAAGATGACTGCCTTCAACATGTGACGTCACATCACACAGCGTCAATCATTGGCTCAATGGCGTGTTCATTGTTTACATAAGATGTTACAGGTTCGGACAGAATGGTGCCTTTTACTCATTTTAATACCCATTTACACTAAATAAGAAATAATTTTTACTTACAAATCCTTTATTTATTTTTCTAATACATAAAAAAAATGTTTTAGAATTTAATTTGTCGTTGGAAAAAAGTTAATATTTGTGGCTCATTAAGTCGCATCAATGTCATCGTTATCAGTGATTGTAGCGGCCTACTGAATATTCACTGCTGATCAGTGTGGTGTCAATGGTGCAGTAGGTAGAGCCATGTAGGAATGTGTTTAAACCTTCAGCAGGAAGTGATGTCATGCCTAGAAAGGGGAGATAATTTGATGATGTATTTTATTATTATAGATATTATTACGAGCAGGAAGTGATGTAATAATGTGTGGAATGGCCGATGTTGAGTTTTGTAAAGTTTTAATAGATCTATGTTTACAGTGTCTTGATACAGGTGAGACAAATTTAACAAATGTGCTAAAATACAGGTAAATTTATTCTCCCATCATGGAAACTGGACGATAATCTATAGTATTGCTTCAATTTATAGATAGTGTCATGTGAAATGCAGGGTATGCATACTGTGGGGTTCTCTAGATCATAAAATAAAGTCTGTCATTGAATCAAGTGGTATGATTTCAATTAGGGAGATTGTATGGCCGGATGGTTAGCATGCGCGTGCTGTATCATAAAGTCTGTCATTGAATCGACTGGCGTGGTTTCGAATCCCCGGTTGTACGTGACAAGGAGTCGGGTCGCCTGTCCAACCTCGTGGGTTTTCTCCGGTTTCCTCCCACTGCTAAAGACCCATACGTGCAAGCTAATTATGTAAATAAAATTAAACCATATGTTAGTCCCGAAATGACCTAGTTTGTGTCGAATGGACGTTAAACCCCATTTCTCTCTCTCTCTCTCTCCCACTGCTAAACCCTCCTACACGAATTATTGAAATAAAATTAAACCATATGTTAGTCCCGAAATGACCTAGTTTGTGTCGAGTAGACGTTAAACCCCATTTCTCTCTCTCTCTCTCTCACGATTTCGATTGCAGACTTATGGGGGTATAGGTTATATATCTCTTTAATGATATATGGTCCCGAAAGTATTTATCGGCTGGTTATTTCCAATAAAAGTATGGCAAATTTGGTATATATGGAAAGTATATCCAATCTTACTAGAAAAATACTGGATTACCCGAAAAACACCCATGGGACAAGCACTGGGCACTAACTGACAACACAAACTGTCGCTAGCTTGACTGAGGGAGTGGTTGTTATTTCTTGATCAAATGGTAAGGCGGTTTCGGGAACACTGAGGGGTGTCAACGTACAAAAGAATCTGCAATTAAACGCCGGAAAAAGAATTTGACAAAATATAATTAAGAAATGACTTAGACCTCAATATTTATGGTAAATGGACAGTAAATAACGAAAAATACTTTCTGAAAAATTGACCCTCCCTAAATGAAGTTAGGAGGCAATGACTTCTAACAACAGTTTATTTATAGCTTGAGGTATCTCCCTGCAAATACAAAGGTTTGAGAAGGCTTTGAATCAAAGTTGTGGTAGATTAATTAGTTTGAAGATGTTTTTAGTTCAAATATATCATCACATCACTCAGTATCTTTAAAGAGAGAGAGAAATGGGGTTTAACGTCCACTCGACACAAACAAGGTCATTTTGGGACTAACACATGGTTGAACTTTATTTCAATAATTGGCTTGCGCGTAGGGGTCTTTAGCAGTGGGAGAAAACCGGAGGACCTGGAAAAAACCCACGAGGTTGGTTAGGCGACCCTACTCCTTGTCACGTATAACTGGGGATTCGAAACCACGCCAGTTGACTCAATGATACCTTATGATACAGCACGCACATGCTAACCATTCGGGCCCCCACCCCCCAGTATCATTAAAGGATAAGGCTATAGCCTTTAAAGATACATTATGGGAGATTAGATAAAGAGTTGACAGTTCTCGCTATAATAGGTAACAACTAGATAACGTAAATAGAAGATGTTGAAAATTTTAGTCAAATTGATCCACTATGAACCGAGATATTAGCTTTTGAATTTTAAGCCTAGCCTCAACCATCATTACTAAAGTCGGTACGATAAAAACATAGTCTCGATTATCCATTTTGGGATTTAATCATCAATGAGCGTTGAACAGCAGCTTGGATTCCAATCAGTGATGACATCGAGAGTTGATTATGGCCTGGATAAGTTAATTAATGTCTAATATATAATTTCGAAAAAATTTCAGGCATAAAGAAAGCCTTGCAATAGACAGAATTAGCTTTTGCATAATGTATGTTTAGAATTGCACAAAAAGATGTCTGATTTGTGTTTTATTTTAAAGATGTCTTATTTGTGTTTATTTTGTAGATGAAGATATGAAGTTATTAGAAGCCATATTAATCTGTGTTTATCAAACAACAGAGTTTTACTGGGTGGTCGACATACAAGATGATGACACGACAGCTTTAAATTCTACAACTATACCAGCCTGCCTTGCTAAACTTTATAAAACACTTGCTTTCTACGCTAAACGACGACCAGAAAAATGTGCAGACGTAAGTCAAAGATGATGCTATTGGAATATTTTTATCTCGCAGGATCCAATAAGCTCAATTAATGTCGGGTGGCCAAATTAGTTTAGATCATTGATCTGTCACTGAGTCTAGTGGCGTCGTTTTGATTCTCTGCTTGTACGAGAAGTAGGGTCACCTGTCTAACCTTGTGGGTTTTCTCTGGGTTGCCAAAGATCCCTACGCGCAAGCGAATTATTGAAATAAAATTGAACCACATGTTAGTCCTGAAATTATCCAGTTTTGGACGAATGGACTTAAACTCTCTGTCTCTCTCTCTTTCTCTCTCTCTCTCTCTCTCTCTCTCTCTCTTTCTTGTGGGGCCCCTGTGCTGACACATGCTACATTTATCATCTGATCTAATGCATTTTGCATATTTCTGTTAGTTACTGTTAGAGTTATGCCTGTTAGTTACTGTAAGAGTTATATCCCTTTGTCGTTGTAGGTATTAAGTAAAGTAAAGAAATATGTAATACAGATATTTTCGACGGTGATTAAAACTGTTGTCAAAGATGAATCAATATCTCGTGATTTATTATCAACTACTGTTGCCGCGGTGATAGCAGAATTATCAGATGCCAGTCAACAGGTATGTAAACCAACGTCTTCTCAAATCATCGACAATTCCTAAATATTATATTTGCACGATTCCTGTTTGAAATAGAAAATCAGATTAGATAGAAAAAATTCTTTCATCATTATATTTAAGTTTTAGACTTAAAGATACATTCCCACGTATAAACTTTGTGATTTGATAATATATTTGGACTAAAAACATATTCAAAGTAACCAATCTATCAAAAATTTGCTTCAATTCCCTCTCAAAACTTTGTATTAGCTGGGTTATACCTATAGCTATAAGTAAGCTGTTGTTAGACGCAATGTCTTTCAACTTGGCTTCATTGTTGGAGGGTCCATTTTTCAGAATGTATTTATCATTACTTACTGTACATTTACCATACATATTGAGGCCTATGTAAGTTCTTAATTATTTCTGTCAATTTCTTTTTTCGCCGTTTAATTGCAGAGTCTTTTGTACGTTGACACCCCCCAATTTTCCCAAAACTGCTTAACCATTTGATCAAGAAATAACAAGCGCTCCCTCACTTAAGCTGGCACACAATAAGCTGGCAGATAACAGTCGGGTGGGTTGCCAGTTAGTGATACCCTGACAATTTTGCCCAGTGCTTGTCCCACAGGAGTTTTTCGGGTAATCCAGTATTTTTCTAGTAAGATTCGATATACTTTCCATATATACCAAATTTGACATACTTTTATTGGAAATAACCACCCGATAAATACTTTTCTGGGAAAGTATCTTTAAATAAGTTAAAATACAATAACATAAGCCTTAGAAATAATATAAATCATTTTCTACATCGTTGAACTCAGTGGATTGAATGATCAAATGGTCTAACCTCGTGGGTTTTCTCTGGGTCCTCCCCGTCTTCATTAGCCCAGGTTAGGAGCAGAACAGTAGGACGTTAAACTCCATTTCATTTCTCCGGGTCCTCTGATTTCCTCCCATTGTTAAACCCCTACACGTAAATGATTTTTGAAATAAAATAGAACCATATGTTTAGACCTAGTTTTAGTTTATAATTTATTTCAATCTACTTTCAGTTCAGCTTGGGTGAAGTTCGAACTGATATCAAAACACTGCCATATTTAACTGGCTGGATAATTGAGATTATTAACGCTAAAGTTTTAACCAGACAGTAAGTATTAATACCTACCTCCACAGAGGTAATTTGAATTGATTTTTATTTTCAATCGAATATAAAAAGAATTGATACCATTAAATAGATTTAACGCATTGAACTTTGGTTTCCCGATTGGACCCCACCCTACCCCCACTGACGTTATTTGAATCTTCAATTAAATGTTGAAAATTGATTAATACGATTCAAGCAGCAATAAGTCTATTAAAACCAGAATAAATGAAATGAAATGAAATGGGGTTTAACCTCCTACTGTTCTGCTCCGACTAGGCTAATGAAGACGGGCGTACGTCATACAGTGTGCTATGAGGAAAATTTTGCCCGGGCAGCGGCACTATGGCCTACTCTTATATCGAATTCCAAGGGATCTTTTACATGCATGCCAATATGTACAAGGGACCTCGGTTTTTCGTCTCTTTCGAAGGACTAGACAGCTGCCCGTGTCAGGTCGTCTGTCCTGTACCACTGACAGGGGGAACCGTGTTGGAAAATCCTGATGAACTTTCTCGGGCAATGCAGGGATCGAACCCGCGACCTCCAGGCTAGTGAGCCAGCGTCTTACCCACATATCCACTGTGGCTCCCAAAAAAACAAAAAAAACAAAAAAAAAAAATAGAATAACCTGTCATCATTGATATTACTGTTTGTTATCATGCATATTAATTTACAATTCTAAAAGTTTAAGCTCGGATACAAAATATTAAAAGGAAGTCTTGTTTGTTTTCATAATCAGCTGTAACTCGACATTGGCTGAATCTGGGGGGTTAGATGGCCGAATGGTTAGCACGTGCGCGCTGTATCATAAAGCCTGTCATTGAGTCAACTGACGTGGTTTCAAATCCCCGGTTGTACGTGACAAGCGAATTATTGAAATAAAATTGAACCATATGTTAGTCCCGAAATGACCTAGTTTGTGTCGAGTGGACGTTAAACCCCATTTCTCTCTCCCTCTCTGGCTGAATCTGTGTACCTGAAATGTTAAATGTATACAGGTATGCCCTACGTAAAGCTAATCAACACATCAAATGATATTACATCAAAGATACCTGATACATATTTGTTAAGTTCTGTGTGCGCTTTAGATCATGCAGGTAAAGAACCCCTTGGCAGTTGGAAAATGTGACATAACTTAGCACGCTGTATGCTCGTCTTCATTATCCGGGTTGTTGTGGAAAAGTAGGACATTAAACCCCATATTCTTATGTGTTATATGTAGCTGCTCTCTCTCTCTCTCTCTCTCTCTCTCTCTCTCTCTCTCTCTCTCTCGTTTTTAGAATAATAATGTTTGTATTTTCAGATTATTTATAGAAGAGATAGTTTGTTGTATTAACTCAGAAGCTGTCACTGATTTACATCCAGTCCATGGACTTCTACATCTACTCTCCACTCTTATCAAATGTACGTTTCAGGCAAATAGAGTGGTTTTATTCTTTTTACACAAGTAAATTGAGGGCGGGGGGGGGGGGAGGATGTGTGTGCGCTGTATCACGAGGCATGTCATTGAGTTAACTGGCGTGGTTTCAAATCCCCGGTTGTTCTTGACAAGGATTAGGGTTGCCTGTACAACCTCGTGGGTTTTCTCCGGGTCCTCCAGTTTCCTCCCACTGCTAAAGACCCCTACGGGCAAGCTAATTATTGAAATAAAATTAAACCATATTTTAGTCCCGAAATGACCTAGTCTGTGTCAAGTGGACGTTAAACCCCATTTCTCTCTCTCTCTCTCTCCCAGGAGTAGGGTTGCCTGGCCTGTCCCACCTCATGGGTTTTAATTGGGTCCTACGGTTTCATCCCATTGCTAAAGGCTCCCATGTGCTTGCGAATTATTAAAATAAAATTGAGGAATATGCTAGTTTGGAAAATACATGGTTTGTGTAGAGTTGAATTAAACTTTACTTTCTTTTTTCAGATAAATTTAAATCGAGTAAATTAGAAGATTATAAAGCAAGTCTAGACTGTCAGATAAATAAATTACAAGAGATCAAACCAGAAGAACAAGATAGGTCAGTAATAACTAGGTGGGATGGGAACAAGATCGGTCAGTAATAACTTGGTGGGATGGGAACAAGACAGGTCAGTAATAACTTGGTGGGATGGGAACAAGACAGGTCAGTAATAACTTGGTGGGATGGGAACAAGACAGGTCAGTAATAACTTGGTGGGATGGGAACAAGACAGGTCAGTAATAACATGTTGGGATGGGAACAAGACAGGTCAGTAATAACTTGGTGGGATGGGAACAAGACAGGTCAGTAATAACTTGGTGGGATGGGAACAAGACAGGTCAGTAATAACTTGGTGGGATGGGAACAAGACAGGTCAGTAATAACTTGGTGGGATGGGAACAAGACAGGTCAGTAATAACTTGGTGGGATGGGAACAAGATAGGTCAGTAATAACATGTTGGGATGGGATGGGATGGGAACAAGACAGGTCAGTAATAACTTGGTGGGATGGGTCAGTAATTATATGGTTATTGGTACATGTTTATGAGTAGTTAGTCTGGATCAATTTTTGGTGTCTTGTAAATACTGCAAACTACTCACATGTCATATATACAGTTGTCTGGCAACCTATCTTTTGAATTAGAATGAAGTCAAAATATCTTCTGTGTAGTTATAAAGATACATTATGAAAGATTTAGATATAGATATAGACCTGGTCGTTCTTGCTATAATAGTTCAAAAATATATAATGTAAAATGAATATATTGAAAATTTCATTTAAACTATTCTGGGTGAAGTTGTGTATGTTGGAATGTGGTAGGGTAGATTGTTTATCATCTTAGCAACGGTACTGGACAAATGAGGCTACGTCTCAGTTATCGTTAAATTTTTAAATCTCAGCAACCCGATGATCTAGAGAATTGATTATAGGCTTGTCATGTGAATAAATGTCTTAAGTAATAGTTTATAAAAAATTTGAATCACGTACTTGTCTACCCTTGGTGTAAGTCAGTGATTCTCAACCAGTATGCCACGGCACACGTGTGCCGCAAGATCTTCCTAGATGTGCCGCGAAATTTTGAATGGTACACTAAGAAAATGTAAAAAGACGTGATCCCAATTGAGTATTCACTGATGTCTGCTGATAAGTTCACAGCTGTGTTTTTCTTTATTTAGTTTGAGTCATTCTATGTGTCTATGACTAGTCTGTGTCTACGGTTGTATGCCGCCTGACTTTCAATGTTTTTATTTTGCAAAATTCTAATATTTTCATATATATTTAGCCACGTGTGCCGCTATTTTTCCATGTGTTGAGTTCCAAGGTGTACAGTATTTGCACCTTATATAATATTTGAAACCAGAAGAAAGACATGCAATATTTAATATAATGCATGGTTATTAAATAAATGTGAAGATATTGTGTATTAATAAATTATATTCTACTATTCCAGTGAAATCATCAACCTTATTAATAGCAAGATGAAGAATCTCATGACAAACACTGATGAAGAAATGGCCTAGTTGACCTCGTCTATATTTAATAGCAATGACCTAGTTGACCTGGTCTATATTAATAGCAAAGACCTAGTTGAACTGGTCGACATTGATAGCAAGATGGAGAATCTCATGAAAAAACACTGATGAAGAAACGACCTAGTTGATCTTGTCTATATAAATCTGTGAATATATAAGTTGGAAATGTATAAACTTAATGGTGCATATAACGTATGTTTTTGCAAATGTAGGGGCGTGGTGACCAATGATTTTGATGTTATAAAGCAGGTCATTGAGTATTCTTCTCTTAGTCCCTGCTTAAATAAAAAGAAATGAAATGAAATGAAAGCGGGTTTAACGTTCTGCTGTTCTGCTCTGAACTGGGCTAATGAAGACGGGCATACGCCATACAGTGTGCTATGAGGGAAATTTTGCCCAGACAGCAGCACTACGGCCTACTCTAATATCAAATTCCAACTACCAAGGGATGTTTTACGTGCACGCCAATGTGTAAACGGGGCCTCGGTTTTTCGTCCCATCCAAACGACTAGACAGCTGTCCTTGTCAGGCCCTGCGTCCTGCATCACTGACAAGGGCAAACCATGAAGGTCCCTGCTTAAAGGAAATATACTTTTCAAACAAAAGTAGGGGATATTGAAATTCAAATACCTATGCAGGTTGTGATATGATAAATAGTCATGGACACTTGACATGCTTTGAAAGTATGTTCATAGATGAAGAACTAATCGCCCCAACCGAACCATTGAGCTGCACATGCGACACGCAATAGCGCCGTACACGTGGGAGGGGTTCATTGTCAAATTTGACACTTCAACGAAGGGTTGATGAAAACTACCGCGTGCTGGTTTATCTATCCATGTTAGCATTCCTATCGGTTCTTGCATAAGATTTATGTTTAGCTATCTTTTCTTTAGTGTGTTACGTTTAATTTGATCGGAGACGTGTTCATCGACGTCAACGTCCACCGACAACACTGCAAGAGGAGTGGGTCAGATTGCTCCAAATCGTGATTGGATGATTGATTAGGAGCATGCCATGACGAATTGCTGAATGTCCGAGGATTGGTTGAGCAATTATTCATTATTAAGACAAAAATCAAAAACGTCCATTTTCACTTTTGACGGTGTATCTCTTTGCAAGTGAAATGGGGCCGTCAGATAATCCGCCCATATGAACTTTTTATGTTCATGTGTAGGCAATTGGCCTGTTATTAACATACACTGGTTACCTCTAATAAAAACAGCAGTGCATTTCCGCAGTTTTGTATTGTTTCTGAATATCCCCTACTTTTTGTGAAGAGTATACATATGAATGTATTTAATTACGTTATATATGTATCTCTATCCAAAGTATATTGTGGGGGGAGGGGGGTCTAACTTGTATGAATTATATCATAAAGTCTGTTATTGAGCCATACTTGTACGTGACAAGGAGTCTGGTCACCTCCATAACACTGTGGCTGTTTATCCTGGTCCACCTGTTTCCTCCCACACCTAAAGACGAACACGAGCAAGATTATCATTGAAATAAAATCGCACCTCATGTTAGTTCCTAAATAACCTATTTTTGTGTCGAGTGGACGTTAAACTCTCTCCAAACTATCCGTTGATCAATGTCTCCACAAGAATTTGTCTAGAAAATGACAATTAAACTATATTAAAGATACATTATGGGAGATATTTATAGAGAGATGGCCATTCTTGCTATAACAGTTCAAAAATAGATGATGAAAGAAGAATATATTGAAAAATTCAGTCAAACTACTTTATTCTGAACATAGTTATCATCGTTGTAATATTTGCCTAGAAATGGTAGCGAAATGTGTCTTCACCTTCGCCGAACGTTTGATTGACAGGCGTTAACTCCACCTACATATCTCTATTATCAAGTAAATTTTTCAATGGCATACGGAAACGCTTTTCAGCGGCCTCGCTAAGTACACTCTATCATTTAGCCTCGATCTAACTGACGTATTTTCATCAGGTTACCCCTTATCTGATTTAATCAATTAGTGAAATCCTATTTAAATCCGAGCTGTAGCCGAGCCATCCGTGGGTCTACAGAGTTGATTTTGGGCTTGTTGTTTAAATAAAGATCTAATTTATAATTTCTATAACATCTGAAGCCTAAATTAAGACTTGCAATAATCAGATTTAGCTCTTGCATAATGCATGTTTAACTTCCTATATTCACGGAATATTTGATTAATCTATGAAACAAAACAAAAAAGAGAGAGAGAAATGGGGTTTAACATCCACTCGACACAAACTAGGTCATTTCGGGACTAACATATGGTTTAATTTTATTTCAATAATTTGCTTGCGCGTTGGGGTCTTTAGCAGTGGGAGGAAACCGGAGGACCCTGAGAAAACCCACGAGGTTGGACAGGCGACCCTACTCCTTGCCACGTACAACCGGGGATTCGAAACCACGCCAGTTGACTCAATGACAGACTTTATGATACAGCGCGCGCAGGCTAACCATAAAACAAAAAAGAACAAGCAGTGTAAAATCAGTGTTATCTTTTTATTAACAGTCTCAAGATTTGCCGATCAATTAAATAAAACAAAACAACTATCGGACTCACATAAAACGAAAAAAAAAAACCCAACTGTTACAAATATATCACACAAATTTTCAAGTTTTTTAATTATTCATCCGAGTCCGGAACGTCCCCAGACCGAGTCCGAAACGTCGCAGGACCGAGTCCGAAAAGTCGTCAATAAGTACGAACCGTCGTCAAAATGTGTCCGAAAGGTCGTCTCTGTTGAGTCCGAAATTACGCGGGACCGAACTGACGTGCTACCTTATAAACTTCCAATATTGATGGAATATTTGAACTGATTAATCTTTGTCTGATATAATTAATAATCTATTCGTGGCATTTAGCGATTGGGAAACACATTCACAGAAGACAATTTTTATGGCTAACAATCACTGGTTTTATTCTAAAAACACGACGTTTCGACAAGTATCCTCTTATCGTTATCAAGCACATATTAATGGAATATTTGAAAAAATATTTTGTATTTTATCTTATTACAATCTGATAAAAATACAGATCTAGATTTCGTTTCGTTTTTTTTTTTTATACTTTCGATGACCTACACTATATGAAGATCTGACCAGTTGTACTGGGAGGTCGGGTCAGCGATTGTATAAACGGCTTTTGACCCTATGGCGTCAGACATTAATTAATCAATCAGCGTTGATGTTCCTAGGGGTTTACCCACAGTTCCGTGCAGAGTACGCCAATCACTCGCCGTAACAGATTGTTTCATTGGCTAATACCTCACCAGGCCTATAACTAGTGGGGAGGGGTAAGAGGGAAAAAATGGTGCACCCAATGATGCCTTTTCCCACTGAGGAAAGAATCGGTTCCCCCAATGGGGGCCTTGGGCGCCTTTCCATTGGACACAATACGAACCCAACGACCAACATCAGGGGTTGGGTGACCGAATGGTTAACGCGTGTGCATTGTATCATTAGGTCTTTCATTGAGTCAAGCGCCGTGGTTTCGATTCCTCGCTTGTACGGGAAACATGTCAAACCTCGTGGGTTTTCTCTGGGTTCTCCGGTTTCCACCCACTGCTAAAGACCCCTACGCGCAAACAAATTTTATTGGAATATAATTGAACAATACATTAGTCCCGAAATGACCTAGTCTTTGTTGAATGAACGTTAAACCTCATTTCTCACTCCTCTTTCCTTGATCACTTTGGATAAATCCTATGGACATTCTAGCGGCTTTTAAAAGCTCAATACCACTCTTGTTGTAACTGAATAATATGTCCCAATCTTTATTCTGGCCAACAAATTGTACTATTTTACAATATTCCAATTAATTGATGATACAAATTACATCTTAATACACCTAATTTAAAAAATTGGAAAAATTCAACTAAATGATTTGAAAAGCCTGACGTAAAGCTTTTCAAATGTGACTTGGATTTAAAAATATTTTTGAACCCTCTGGACAAGTAAAATAGAATTTAATGGATAATTTACACAACAGATAAGACACTAACACATCTAGTAATTAGAGTAAGGCTATTTTTTCATTTTCTGGAGCTGTCAAGCCAGCAAGAGTGTTATTGTCCCTTTAAAGGAGCTAAATCTCTATTCTGTGGCACCTAGAAATCGACACAAATGGGTCGCATTGAATATAATAATGTATTATGAATGTATATAAACTGATTTACATTCATGTTCAGCGAAATAAGCGAAGCGTCCAAACTGAATGACCTTGGCGTCTGATTATTCAAGTCCACACCGGTAGTATTCTCCTGTGGGATATGACTAGCCTCGTTCATCGAGTAGCTTTATTACAAATGGGGCTTGAAAGTATTCTGGACTTAAAACGGGATCAAGCCTTCTATTGAAAATGGATGAAAGAAGGCCCTCAGCTATTCTTCTTATTTACATTAGTGAGACAAAGAAGCCTATTTAATTTCAATAATTTCCGGTAATTTCTTCTGGGGTTATACGAGCCCCCACTCTCGCACAACTAGAACTAAGATGAAAGGGATTTTGAACACAATTGAATAAAGAAATGAAATGAAATGGGGTTTAACGTCCTACTACCCCTAAACTGGGCTAATGAAGAAAGGCATACGCCATACAGTGTGCTATGACGGAAATTGTGCGCGGGCAGCGGCACTACAGCCTACTCTTATATCGAATTCCAACTGTCAAGGGATCTCTTACATGAATGTGCATTCCAATGTGTACAGGGAACCTCAGTTTTTCGTCCCATCCGAACGACTAGATAGCTGTCCTTGTCAGGCATTGCGTCCGTCATCACTGACGGGGACACCACGCCGGAAAATCTGGATGAACTTTCTCGGCCAGTGCAGGGATCGAACATGATGATTGATCTTTAAAACTACAGTGCTGTAGGACAGTGTCCAAAAAACTATGGAAGCCGTGGTGGCTAAGTTATATTTATAGCACGGCTCTCATGAGTTAACAGGTTTAACACGAGACCGCAGGTCGAGGTGTTAAACCTGGTAACGAATGAAGCGTGCTATAAATGACTTGTAATACTGACACCTGCTCAACATGCTTGTTGTTATTGCACAGAAAACCCACCCCACTTCTCTATATGATTTCTACTAAAACTAGCGTAAACCAGCAAAAGTGTGCAATAACACTGCACAGTTACGCCCCAGTGAGTTTATTAGAGGTAAAACAATCTGCTTATTGAACGAAAAGAACAAAGGAAGATCTCCTGTCCGTGTTACAAGTGGGTAAAACGCTGGCTTGCTAGCCTGTAGGTCGCATACGTGGGCGATCTCGGCATAGGCTGAGAAAATTCATCAGGATTGTCCAGCTTGGTTTCACCTTGTCAGTGATGCAGGAAGGAGGGCCTGACAAGGACAGCTGTCTAGTAATTCAGGTGAGACGAAAAATCAAGGTCCCGTGTACACATTGGCGTGCACGTAAAAGATCCCTTGGCAGTTGGAATTCAATATAAGAGTAGGCCATAGTGCCGCTATTCGGGCAAAATCTCTCCCCCCCCCCACCCATAGTATACTGTGTGGCGTATGCCCGTCTTCATTACCCCGGTCAGCAGCAGAACAGTAGGACGTTAAACCCCATTTCATTTCTAAAAACAATAAACAGCCTGGTTGGGGGCCACAGGTAAATCCGAGGCGGCATCTAACTCATTCACCTGGATTGTAATTTGTAATCAGTGTCGTTAACCCAGTGACATAAGTCTATCGATTTCTGATAATTGCTTGCAGAGTTACTGTTCTTGACCACTTTGAAATAATCTCGTGGACAATCTAGCAGCTACAGTTATCACCCCAATGAATTTAAATCTAGTTCTGTTCATAAGACCCAAAAGATCTGATTGGTTAGAATTGTTTATTTTCATGACACACGGCCTATTGACGACATTAAGCGATTTTTGACAATTAATTACGAAGTTATTGCCCTTTATAAATTAACAAAAGTAATAAATTTTTATAAGCCCACATGAACATGTGATCGTATATTGTCGTCTCTCATGTCCGTCGGTCGACCGACTACAGTTATTATCTCATCTGTTTATCCTTTTGCGAGGTTTTGGTGAATATTGACGATTTTACAAGGTTTTGGTGAGTGTTGACGATTTTACAGGGTTTTAGCGAATATTGACGATTTTACAAGGTTTTGGTGTTGACGATTTTGGGACGGAAGCACGGGGAAGTAAGTATATCTGCTAGGCAAATATGAAAGCTTTCATATTGATCGTCACTACTGTCAGATTGGCACGCGCTAACTGTCAGCTATCTTACACATAGTTAGAAGAAGGCGTTCGCATTTACCACTGTTAAACAGATTGCTGTAACGGTTGAGTGAAATTCATCACAGAAGAAACTGGCAATTTGTTATGTATAATTAATATTTGTTGTAATGTACCGTGACTTGCATTGTTTTACACATTCCGTTTGAATTATTACTCAGTCTGGAGAAATATCTTGAATAGCCTGTTAACTTTAAAACGAGGACATGAGTTAACATCTAAATGTTAGTTTTGAACGGAATTGATTTTTTAATGCTTCAGACTGACTTTATATAAATATTTTATGACTTAGTTTAAGTTTTTTTTGGTGCATTTAAAACCACAGACAAAACGAAACTAGCCAAATGGAACCAGTATTAAGTTAAACAGAGAGAGAGAGAGAGAGAGAGGGGGGGGGGTAACATCCACTCGACACAAACTAGTTCGTTTCAGGACTAACATATCGTTCAATTTAATTCGATAATTCGCTTGCGCGTAGGGGTCTTTAGCAGTGGGAGAAAACCCGAGGACCCGAATAAAACCGACGAGGTTGGACAAGCGACCCTACTCCTTGTCAGGTATCGAAACATCGCCATTTGACTCAATGACAGACCTTATAATAGAGCGCACACGCCACGCCCTATTTGTATCCTAGCCCTTATTTTATAAACTCTGAAATAGTCAAATCCTGTTTAGATATATTTTCTGGGTAAGGGTGATTGGATGGCCGAATGGTTAGCACGTGCGCGCTGTATCATTAGGCCTGTCACTGAGTCAACTGGCTTGGTTTAGATTCCTCGGTTATACGTGACAAGGAGTAGGGTCGCCTGTCCAACCTCGTGGGTTTTCACCCGGTCCTCCGGTTTCCTCCCACTGCTAAAGACCCCTACGCACAAGCGAATTATTGAAATAAAAATAAATAAAACCATGTGTTAGTCACGAAATGACCTAGTTTGTGTCGAGAGGACGGTTAAACCCCATCTTTATGGCATTTAGTAATTGGAACATAATCAAAACACACTTTTGAGTGGACGTTACCCCCCCCCCCCCCTCCTCTCTCTCTCTCTCTCCCTGGGTAATGTCGCTTTAGTCAATCAATAAAAGTTTTTTTAACCCTGATTCAGCCATTTGATTTCATTAATCCCTAGCGATTTACAAATTTCTGTCTTTCTGGTTGTTGATTTTATTGATAATGTCGCTTTAGTCAATCAATAAAAGTTTTCTTAACCCCGATTCAGCCATTTGATTTCATTAATCCCTAGCCATTTACAAATTTCTGTCTTTCTGGTTGTTGATTTTATTGATAAAATACTATTCTTTATTGAACGTACCTGAACTGGATGATAACATCAGAGAAGCATAAAAAGCGTAAACTTTACATTTAAAATCATATACAGTCTGGAACACTTTAAAAGTTTTTCTTGCTGTGGATGACCCTCCCCAGATAAAAGTTACCTGAAAAGAAATGGGGTTAAACTCCTACTGTTCTCGACTGGGCTAATGAAGACGGGCATACGACATACAGTGTGCTATGAGGGAATGTTGCCTGGGCAGCTATGGCCTACTCTTATATCGAATTCCAACTGCCAAGGGATCTTTTAAGCACGCCAATGTATACATGGGACCTCGGTTTTTCGTACCATCCGAATGACTAGACAGCTAGTCTATTTGAAACCGTATCAAATTTATTCTTTTAATAACATGTTATACAAATTTCAATCTGATTAAAATACAGATCTATATTTCGTTTCGTTTTTTTTTAATACTTTCGATGGCCTCTGCTAGTTCTACATGA